TTGAATTATTTTAGACATTTTACATTTTTTTTTTATAAGTATTGAAAAATAAAATTTTGTCTAGACAAAAAATATTAAAAATATATAGATGCTTAAAATTATTACAAATTTTTTCAATATAAAAAAAATTTAAAAATTATTTTATAGTTAAAAATTTATAAAATATTCAATTTTTATAATTAAGGATTAAAAATGCAATTTAATGTCCTCTTAAAATAATTCATAGCTTATACTAAAATTAAAAAAATCTAAAATATCTATTAATACTTTTTTTTATTAATAATTAAAGTTTAAGTTTGAACAAAATTTGGTTAAAAAAATAACAGTTTTAGTTTTTTGTTACAATTTAAAAATAATATTTTTGGGAATTTTAAACTTCTAAGAACATATCTTAATATGTTTTATTCACAATGAAGTTTAAAAAATTTTAAAAATATTTCTTGCAAATATTTATTCAACCTAATGTATTATTTATTTTTCGTAAAAAAAATTTGTTACTGATAGTAATTTAATATTATCATAAAATAACTTAGTAATGTAGGTTGATAAATCATAAAATCATCTGCTCAGTATAATTTTTCATAATATCTAATGATTTATCAATGAATTCAAATTTAATTCATTTAAAATTACTTTACGCTAAGGTACACTCAACACTACTATATAACAAAACTTTTTTAATTTTAATACTTAGTATGATTTGAAATACATATTTATTAAAATATATTTTTATTACATTTAATTAATATTATGTTGTTATTAAAATTTACAGATTGCTTAGTTCGTTTTTTAAACAAACTTGATAAAACAGCTAATCAGCTATGTCCTTTTTTGGCAGCTGGTGTTGTAGTCAGCACTCTTTATTGGTCTGCAGCTTCATATGGAGCAATAACCATGATGCAGGTTTATTCTAATAAGAAATAAATTAAATTTTATAGAAATTAAACTTGAATGTTTCTTAGATAATGGGTGAAAGAGAAGCTATTACAATGATGGAGAATACAGATTCATATATGTTGCTCTTGATATTGCCATCAATACCTCTCAGTCTAATTTTGTGCAAAACAATCAATTGGGAAGAAACCTTACTGTTATTTGTACAACGATTTACTTCACAGCTACCCTTGTTAAGAACCATCATGCCTTCATTTTTGTAAGCCATTTATGCTGTTAAAGTAATAATTATAAGTCATATTTGTATTGTTTTTTAGGTGTGAACCTATCAACAATTCAACTAATACAGTCCAATTCAATTCAGTCGTTAATCCAACAACTACTCTCTGTGCTGCACTCTTATTTCCAACTACTGCTACCGTAGTTGGAAATTTATTGTTTAACAATAGTTCATATTCATACTTACAAAAAACTATATTGGTTTGAATTTTATAAATTTTAATGAATATGAATGTACATTTTCATTAATTATGTTCATATTTTTATTGCAGGGAGGTTTAGTATATATTGCAGTAAAAGGTGTATTCAGAATATATCAAAGACAACATAATGTTATTAAAGAAAAAACACGTAAAGTTATCGACTATCCTGACACTGGTGCAGAAGAAAATAATTAAAATCTATATCATAATCCAATATTTGTTAACATCACCTTAAAAATCTTGATATTTTAATATAATTATAATAAAACATCTTAATATTGTATATAAATATGTAAAAATATTATTTTTAAAAAAAGGTTAATTGTATTTAGAATAAAGTTGTAAAAAAAAAAAAAAAATAATCATTATTTTAAGATAATCATATATCAAATATACAAAATGTTTATAAAGTTAATCCAAAATAAATAATATCATATATTTACAATATGATTTTGTTGGTGAATAAGATATATTATATTTTAATAATTAGAATTGCTCATTAAAAAGATATTAATGTATAAAAAAAATAGAAATTTTTAGTAAAATAGTTTTGAAAAAAAAAATATGTATTGGTAAATATTTAATTTACAGTTACTTATGATCTTATGAATAATCGTAGGGAATATACAAGGTAACATTTATGATAAATATTATTACTTTCTTAATTATACTAATTGTATGATATGAAAATTGTGAACTTTAACTTTTAGTATTTAAAAATAATATAATAATTTAATAATCTATAATATATTTATGTATACCATACAGTTCAAAATACTAAAAAATATAATAATAATGTTAAAATCTTGTTTCAGTCTTTTAAATTTACATACATTAATTTCGCTTGTACTTTCATAAATTACATTTTCAATGAATATTCTTTTACATAAAAATTAAAATGCCAATTGCATAATTATGATTAATGATACATATCAATGTTTTAGAGTTAACTGATAAATTGTATTTACTGAATTCACAAGTAAAATTTTTTTTTAAAAACACTATTCTGTGTCTAATAAAATCTTCATCCAATACCAAAATTAATTTTTTGTCCTAGATTATTTAACACCTATGCATATGTAACTAAGACCATAGCTAAGAAAATATTTTAAGAGGGTTTAGTTATAATAAGTGTATTTTTACCAATTAAAATTTTTGGCTAAGATACTTATAAAAAAAAAAATCAAGTGTATCAAACTCTTCTTAAACAGCCATCGAGCATGTTACCCTGTGTTAATCAATAACAAATTTTAATTTTAAATCGGTGAGTTTACGTTTTACCATTTAAAATTTAAATTTAAACTAATAATAATAAATAAAACCAAGTATATATGAGTGTATATATTATGGAGTACACTGCATATCATATAAAAATATTAAAATGAAAAAACAAATCATATTATTGCGTATAGCTATTGAAGGCGGATTCTACGAATATGAACCGCGACACGAAAACTGGCCACCGAGTACCGCAACCCGCACTGCTTACCCTACCCAATAACCATGAGTTTTCAACCTATACCGTTTATTTTTTTTTTTTGGAATTTGTATTATTTGGTTCAAGTTTTTAATGTTTTATACTTGGTTTGAATAAACAAATTATTGATTTATAAAATAAATAAAATATTTTCAGTAAATGAAATTTTAATTCAAAAAAACCCGACAATTAATTTAATTACATTGTGGACCATCGAGGTGAAACGGTCGCTAGGTTCGTGACGGTCAAAGGCCAGTTTTCATGTCGTGGATTGTGCGAAAATTCGCTAGTTAGGACAGACGACCACTTTGCCCAAATGATCATGGATAACATGAAATGTTTGCTACTCCCCAACGATTCTAACCTAAAAATAAGGGTTTATTATTATTCATGGCGTTCGTTGGACGTGATGCGTGCATTTCTTGAATTTCTTCATTTCATGAATCGTAGTTTTTTCTAGCCACAGTCCCTCTTCTGCTGTTGATTGTTTTTAGACATCCTCAAACGATTTTTGGTTTTTTCGATCTTCTACCCTAATACTATAATAGTAAAATAACTTTAACGAGTAAATAATGAAATATACAGACTTAACGTGATATAAAAGGCTAAAAGACTCCGCTCAGCATCGTTTTTTTACACAATGATAAATCATTGAATTTAAATCGACCCATTAATGCATAAGTTATTAATGGTACCCAATTGTTTACCCCAATTATTTTGATAACTGGAAAGTAGCTACTGGGGTTTTTTTTTGATTTTTAACACCTAAAGTACAATTACCAACTAGATTCAATTCCTAACTAAAGATTAACTACTTTCGAGGTTAAACTAGTCTAAATACTTAAAAATTTCATTAGAAATAAATTATACCATAGAAAGCAATAATTAAAAATTCAAGTTATAGTGGAATGTCTCAAATTTTTACAATAAATATTGTTTAAATTACAATAGGTATAAAAAAATATTGTTTTAGGAGAAATCAATTTAAACCTTTTATCAAATACATTGGATAGTAAGAATATGCAATTTTTATCAAAATTTAAGCAATATGGATATATATTTATGGTAAACTCTTCTGTGATTGTTTTCACAATCTTTTTGAAAATTATAGGGAATTATTTAGTTTTAATAAATTTGATGAATGTGTTGACACTGAACAACTTACTATAATATTTTATTATGAATCAAAAATATCAAACATTTTAATATTCATAATATAATATAATGCACTTAAATTTTAGTATATTTTACCAACAGATACATGGGAAACATGGCTATGTTATTATAAATTATAACATTAGAATATTAAGTATATGTGCAGTGGCGCCCACAAGTTTTCCATGAACCAGTGTAGTTATAATATTATAGGGCCCCAAATTTATTTAAGATCTAGATAAGTATTTACACATTAATAGTTTTTGCTCCAGAGAGGACCCCTCCAAATATAAGTAGGCCTTGGGACTCACATAAAACTAATGCAATTGCATTATTTAGTACCCTATGTGAGCGCCACCGTGTATGTATGAAGTGAAGAAAAGTAACAGTTAATAAAGAAATGAGACATCCAGTCAACTTGTAGAATAAGTATTATACACATCTTAATATGGACTTAAAATTTTAGTAACAAAGGAAAGCAGGACACTTTTAGCCAAGTGTATTCTTTAATATGTAAAAACTTGATACATAAAATTATATAATTTTAAAATGACTATAAAATAAAATTACCATTTCACTTTATTATTAATTTTAATAAGTAAAAAAAATATAACAATTATACTTTACACATCTGAATAGTTAAAATATATCACCTTTTAAGACAAAATATATCAATAAATATGAATCTATTTAAAAGAAAAATATTTTAAAAACAATTTTACAAATGTAATTTAATAAAAAAAATTGTAAGTACGTGTATGACGTATGAAAGTAAATTAATTTAAAAATATATAATTTTTATAATATTCTAAAAAAAATAACTAATAATTTATAAAAATAGTTAAGCCAGATAATTAAGTATCTTTTTCAAAGCTTAAATTGTATCTCATAATACCAATGTCTAATAAACAATTATTATTAAAAATACAGTAAAACTTAAAATATAAGAAATTTCATAATCAAAATAAAATGTAATGTACGAGTAAAATTATTAGATTTAAATATTGATGACTAGTAGTCATAAAATAATATTTTATTTTGAATGATGTATAAAAATATTTGCAAAATGTAACAATTAGGTTTTAGGTTCAAAATGTATACCAAATTGAGGTCCAGTATATGGAGCTGTATCACTCCAGTAATCTCTAGGATCTGATACAATAGCTAATTTTATATCTTCAGATATATTTACTTCTTTAAAGTACCTGCAACATCTTTTCCCTACTTCTGGAATATCAGTTTTGTATGGAGGAGCTAATATGTCAAGAAATGCAGCTGGACCATCAATAGTATCCACTTCATGAATATTTCCCTCAACTGGACACAACACACACGAATCGTCTCTTTCTCCAACAATTATTGGAGCTAATTTTATTGCACTGATGTTAGAATCGCTATAAACATAAAACTATTAGGTACAAACTTAAAAATAAAACAAAATGTTACCCCCACAATTACTTTAGTTGGCTATAATCCTTATCCACAGGTGTATAGCTTTGTACTTTGACTTTACCATAAATAACTTTTAACACACCATACATGTAAGGGTGATCATGTAAAGGTATTTTAGCACCATCTCTCAACACAAACACTCCAATTGATACGTTTTCATCTTCAAACACTCCAATGTAAGTAACAGGAGCTTGATGACGACGTATAAATGTGGATCCAGACAATTTATCCAGGTTGTTGTTTAATTCAAATGTGTCCCATCGCAATAATCTAAAATCTAAGCCAATTGACCGTGCGTCCAATGCATTGGTATAACGTTTCAATTTAATCAAATTATCATGAAAAGCTTTTGATGTATATGAACCAGAAAAAGTGGTTATAGCTTGTTTAATAACACATTCGATTTTTGATGTCATAATACTCGATGCACACAATTCAACTAAAATATAATGTTCAAGATTTACACTTTTACGAATAGTAATGCGTACATAAACTATGCTCAAGAACATAAGACTAATCGGATAATTCGGATAGTATTTTTTGGTAGTTGAACGAACAAAAAAGAACATGTAAAATTCCGTTACATTAGGTAATAGGTTACATTAAGTTATATAATTTTGGTTTTTATCAATTAATATTTCAAATTTATTTTATCTAATAGGTAACTTTATCATAGAATATAGTGTTTTTATCTTAATCTTGTAAAATATTATCAATACATAATTCTTAATCTTTCAATCTTCTGTTTAATTTATGGTAAAACTGAAACATTTCCTCAGGGTTAAATTGAGGGTTTTACCATAGATGAGATTAATAAAAGTTATGTCGTCAATTAACTATTAGAAAAAAATTATGGAATTAGAGAAAAAAGGATTGATCTAAAAACTAAAACATTTTCTAAAGCACCTCGCTACCTTGTACATATTTTTTTGTATTTAAATTTTGGGTATTTTAAAATCGTAAATGTTCATGTCATTCATAACACAATTTTTCATTTCATTTCATTATTTTAATCAGCAAGAAACTTTATGAAAAGATATATATTTTTGAAAAACTATAAAATATAAACCATATTAATTTAATTATAAATCAATTGTTCATTTTACATATTTACCTTACAGTACATTGTGGGACGCAATAATATTTAAGTTTATACTTTACTATTAGTTTTATTTAACGCAAAATAAGTGTGGCTCATATTAAATTTATGTTTAATATAAGTGAATAGTGATGATCAATGATCAGTGATTTTATTTTTAATAATGTGATATATTATTTCTTCTAACTACAATGTAAATATTACAGTAATACAGTGCGCCATTTCAGATAATTCATAATACTGCCACTAGAGGTCAGACCTTTCATTAAGTAATAGAAATCAATAATCGTAGAATATATGGTAGATAACAGATATAGTAGATAAATATTGTTTTATACTTAGGTTTGGGGCGTTTGGGCCTTACTATGTGTAGGCGCCGGCGCGCCGTTTGGCTCATTAATCGTTATGAATCTGACCATATAAAAAAGTAACTAATTATTTAGTCGAATTTATGATTATATTCATATTATATAGTTCATGATAAGATAAACGTACTGTAAGTTATAAGTATGGCATAAACCTTATTATTTATAGTCACAATTGGAGCTATCATTGTTTTTTAAGAGTTCATTCCGATTTTACACATTTTGTGGTTTTATTACTGTCCAACAAGTGATGGTGTTCAGCATTTTGTCTTTGGTACTTACTACTTAGGCAATTCAGCATCCAAAAAAGCCTCAGATGACAGTGTCTTGGTGTGCACTGCAACAGTGCGTCGTATATGTACCTCAAAACTGTGATTCATCTTCATTCTTATTCTAGAATAAATCATAATATAGTTTAACTGCTATTAAATATTAATTAACATGGACACTCAAGATCAAAATAATAGTGTGAGTAATGATTATGTCTTGATACATGAATACAATTTTGTATCATTTAGTTGATAGTACCTAATTAATTAATAATTTTAGATCTATAGTAAAATAATCTTTGAATATATTTTAATAAATTTTAGTAAATTATGTGGTTTAATATAAACTATAATGTACAAATTTCAATTTTATGTTGTCTCAAAATCAAGCATTAAAAAATGAATTAAAATATTGTAATTTTATTTTAGATGATATTTTGTTTAATTAAAAAGATAAATAATTTCAATCATAAAAAAATTAAGTAGTTGAAGCTATAGTAGTTATTTTATGTGTGGAGTAAACAAGTGCTATAATGTATTTATTTATAATGTGTAAACAAATGTAATATTAATAGAAGATTTTCAGATGTACAATGCATCAAAAAAAAAATCATCCAAACATAAAAGAAATTCTCACAGAAATATAAATCATGATAATATAATTTCATTTAAAGCTATATTAAACCAAGAATTTTGTGTTGAGGATGATAATAATGAACAGTATCTTAGTGATTTATCCATTGGGGATTTGAATAATAAAGTTAAAAAGTATAATATATTATACTTGGAAAATGTAAGAATTATTTTATTTAATATTTTGCAATACAGATTTGAAAATAGATGTTTTTGTTTAGAAAATCAATATGTTTAATGCATTTGATATAGATTTAATCAGTTGTGTACAACAAATGGTAAAGAGATCAAAAGAAACAAATATTTTGGTAAATTTGTTACTTATGAACAGTTATTGTACATTGTTTTATTAAGTAATTAATTTTTTTTTTTTAATAAACAAAGGAAATTACTAATACATTTGATGCTATTAGTAAAGTGTACTCATGTAGAGTCGACGATATTTGGACAACGGGTAATAAATTAATTAAAGAATTTGTGTCAGAGACAAAACATAAAAAGCTTATTAAAGAGAATGAGACCAAAACAAAACAAAAACATAGAGTATGTTTTAAATATTTATCATTCAAATAACTGGAAGTTTTTAATATAATTTTTATTTCAATTTGAATTTTAGAAAAAACTAATGTTAACAACAGCAGACAAGTTATATTGTAAAGAAACTCAAATTTTACCAAAAAAAAATTATTTAAGTGTGGATTTCGATAGTAATATGATTGATTATTCAAAACCTTCAAGAATATTGATTAATAAGTATTCAAATAAGCCCTACTGGCCAGAATATAGTGTTTCTAAAAATATTAGAGTGGTTGAAAATCAACAAGAAATATATGAAATGGAAGATATAAGTTGTAAGTAAAATATGATAAACTCCTATTTTAAGTTGATTTAGTATATATTTAAAAACATTATTCTATTCAAATTCAAGTGGGGATGGATTGCATACACACATAATCAGTCAAAAATGTCAGAAAAGTAGACTTAATTTTAAAAAGGTGCATTCATTAGTGCATAAAAAATGTAATTTTTAAGGTAGAGTAAACAAATTTTACTTTTATAAGAGATATTACCTACATTTTAACTATGAACTTGAATGTCTGAATGAAAAATATAAGGTAATATATCTAGTTTTAAATTGCATTTAAAATCTAAAAAAAACTAACAATAAACAATTAGCTTTATTTATAATAATAAAAATAATTGGAGTTGGAAATATCTAAAATAATATGTTGCTATTCATATAAAATTATACTATATCAATATCATTTAATAGTTCACATAATATAACATTAGATATTATGCATGTAAAAGAAAGACTACTGACTGGAAATAAATCATAAGATAATAAGCAATTAATATTCATAAAAATTACTAATCATCAATCAGTATTACTTGAGATTTGAATAATTGTTAAAATTAAGGAGATGAAGTTTAAACAAGTTTTTGCATGTACCTATAACAAATTTTTTTTAAAAGTAATAAATTATAAATTCTTTGTAAAGTTGACCCTCTATTCTATATCTTACTTCTTTAATTGAATTTTGTTTTTCTATATTATTATGTACTTAATTTTTATTAATATAAAAAAAAGCCACAAGTTGCTCTATTAATACATTTGCTGCAGTTCAATTTTTATACACATACCCCCAGTACAGGCTAAATTAAAATAAATGTATTAATTACATCTTAAGACATCATCTGTACTAGGAAACGATTGAATTAACGTCTCAAAGCATCATCCTGCAGCGAACGTGTTAAAAAGAAGTTTTCAAATTAATCTCGTTCATTAAGTAGGATTCAGTAATCCAGTAATAAATACGTTTAATTTAATTCATTGTGTACGTGGCAACTTATATTTGTAAGAATATTTTATTACATGTTTATATTACTATTAGAAATGTATTTTTCTGACAGTAGTACGGTAAGGTTAACTATTTTTACCAATAACAAATCGCATGTGTTATATTATTTCATATAATATTACTAGCTGTTATTAACATATAAATCAATTTAAATACACTGTAAATTGTTTAATTATATTTGTAGTATAATTAGCTTAAAATAAATCTAAATATTCTTTAAAAGTTAATGTGTATATAAAATAAATATCTAATTAATATCAGAATGTTTTAAGTTTCTATAAATATTTATTTATATTTTTTAAAAGACATTAAAATAAAAAATATTGTGGATAATAATTGTTTTTTTTTAATTTTTGAATTTTTAAAATCATTAAAATTTGAAATTCTATCTTTCAGAAAAAACTTAAATGATTTATACTCAATTTTAATTTTTGATTTCCAGTTAAAAAAAAAACCTTTGTATTACATTTTAAAGTATTTATTTCTGAATACAATAAATAAAAATAATAATTCCTGTTTTCTCGATTATTTTTAAAATTATTAGGAATTGTTTACTTTTGCTCACCTAAGTACTAACTAAATACATTTATCTACCAGAAACCATTACCGTAGGTAAATAATGAAGCATTTTACCAAAAAAAAAAGTTAGTTTTGTCTAATAAATTATTATATTGTTCAAATTTTTATTTGCATTATAGTTTTAATTGAAAATGGAAAAATTTGTCCTTCATATCATAAATTTATAGCTGAATGTGATAAAAGTACTAATTGTGATGATGACACTAACCTAAACAAATTAGATAATATTGTAACACATTTTGATCGAGAAACATCTAAATTTTGTACTAATGACTCTGAAGAAAGTGATGATGCAATGGAAGTAGATTTAAATGAATCAAATGCAGAAATAATAGCACACACAGATCTAGGATCAGCTAATCACAATAACAAAGCATTTTGTAAACCAGATAATTTAAGTGGGTGCATCATTGTTATATTTATAAAAAAAAATATATTTGTTGTTATTTATTAAGACTTTTTTTTTATAGATTCTTTGTCACAGACATTATTAATGGTGGATTCAACAAATAGCAGTGATTACACATTTTTTAATCGTGAAAAATTGTGTTACTTCAAATGTTCTAATCACTGGAATGATAAATTCAGAATGATGACAATTGACAGTAATGTTTTTTTCAAGTTTATTGTTCATTTTTATAAATGCATATTCTATAAATTATTGTAATTAGGTAAACAGAAAGCAATGCTTATTAAATCACGTATAGCTCAAACACATCAAACACAATCCCAAACTAATGTTCCTGAAAATCAATGTAACAAATCAAAAGCTATAAAATTTAAAGTCAATTTTTATTCAGATAATTCTGCAATATTGAAAAATATAAAATTAAATTCTGGTAGAAACCAATGTAGTTATATTAAATGGAAACCAATTAATAACTTAATTGGTTCACTTGATCAATCAAATATTAGGCCTATCAGACAGTTAGTACTTATTAAAAAATATGATAGTAAACATCTATAACTTACCATACTTTTGTTTATTGCAGATTAGAAAGTTGTAAGTATATAAACATGATTCCTAACTGGTATAAAAATGAATTTGAGGAATCAAATTTTAATACAAATCCAAATGCATTGTACTTATTTCCAGAACAAAATAATCTAAGCAACAGCTTATCGGTATGAAAATTATTTTATTTGTCTACTAATTTTAACCAATAATAAATTATGTTTAGATGGATGAAGTTCCAGTAGAAAATACAGACTATATTATTAATCATAATGTCATGGATATCGAGTGTGAAAATGAGGAAGATGAAATGATGACTGAAATAAATAATGACAATTTAACTATAGCTTTAGGTGAAAATAATACACCAGTTAATGCCTTTCAAGTAAATTATTTAAAAACATTGTGTTATATACATAATAGCTATTAATTTAATATTTTTACTAAAACTTGATTTTAAGGAGTGCCCTACTAGTAATTCTGGATACATAGATATTCATCAACTTAAAAAATATATTATGAATATTATTAAACCAGATGGCAAGAAAACAATAAATATTTCATTTGCAGATTTGTTATTAAAATTGCCAAAATTATTACCGGAAAATATGAAAGAGAATATTAGTGTATCTGTTATATATGTTGCTTTATTGCATTTATGCAATGAATACAGTTTATGCTTAGAAAACAAAAATGATGAAATTTTAATATCTCAAAGTATTGTGAACAGTGAAATAATATTAGAATAAGTTTGTTGTTTGTCAAATTATTATTGTATTAAATACATAATAAAACTAGTGCTGAATAACCTTGCTTATACTATTTAATGTTAAATCTATGTATAATAGACATTATAATCAAATAGTTACTTATTTAGACACTATAATGATAAATAGGATTTTAAAAGTGCAAAAGCACATAGTTGATTAGAGTATATTCACTGTTGAACAGTCAGTCTTTCAAAGATACTAAGGTGAATTAGTAGAAAATACCAAAAGCTTTAAGAATTCCCAATCTACTAAAGACCTAACAACTTTTTACTAAATTGTATTTTTTTTTTTTTGTTTTTGTAGACAATAAAAATTATTTTATCTAAAAATGTTGACCCTATTCCCACCCCCAAAAAAAAAAGTACCAACTAAATCCAATTTGCAATTAAACATACATTTTAAAAATATTTTTACGTAAGAAAATGAATTTTTTATACATCTACGTTTGCTACTGAAAACTACTTCCATTTTTGAAAATTGAAAATTTTTTATTACTTTAAAATATGATGAGTGATGACGGACGAAAAATAACACATATTTTTATTGTAAAATCAATTAATTTGTCACTCTACTTAGAATATTATGTAAATATAGAGTGGTGAATGGTGTACGTCATATAAATTATAAAAACAACAAATATAAAAAACACAATTTTTTCATGGTTGTCAAAATTACATTAACCATTTGATAAATTCACTTTTTTTAAATGAAATTTTATTAATTTGATATTTTACGGGTAACAAATGTTATTGCTGTTTTAATTGAACATTAAAAGATGACATCCTGAAGAATATTTTATACCCGAAGTGCAAACTAAATTCACTTACGTCCAAAATGATTATTGGTTTGTTGAAGATTGGAATTAATGCATGTTTTCTCTTATACTAGGTATAAATATATAAATATACAAAACAAATATATAAAATTAGGTGAATTACCGATTTCGCCTCTGCACAGTATTGTAAAGGTCATTTCCAGAAATTTTTTTAGGAAGTAATCCAAAACATGTATACCTAATGTATATTGTATGATTACTGAATTTAGATTTTGACATATATAGTTAAAAATTAAGTATACGAATTAAAATAACGTTAAATTATTAATATAGTAATACTAAATACAAAATACAAATGAAATAAAATAACGTACCTTTGAAAGTTAAAAAAAATATTTAACAATAACAATAGTTGTAGACTACAGTACATTTTTGTTATCTCTTTACTTATTACCTCATTATGACAAATTTAATAAAAAAATTCTACGTGTTTATCACTGTCTGGCGAACATGGAATAACGGTTGAACGTTGTATAATTATAAATTATTATAATAATATTTTAAATTTATACAAATATAGTATTGTTAAATGTTATTGTTAATCATTGTCGACCGTCGAGGCGTTGACTGGCATCGATAGCGGTCATTGTCGATCAACAGACAATAATCAATAACAATTTATTATTGGACGCTATAACAATATTTTCATAAAGGTATTATGAATAATTATGATACAAAATAGTCAATAATAAATGTTAATTTTAGACATTTATGACAAAAAATATTTATGTTGGTAATAAAAATAAATAATTATTTTAAACATATTTTAAACTATTTAAGAAATTTTAATGAGGGGAGGGGGGAACCCCTCTCAAATAATACTTTGAATATTGAACTAAAATGCAATTATTTATTTAATATATACATTAATTTTATAATTTAACAATACTGTGAAAAAATAAATTGTAAAATTGTCTAAACGTGCTTTACTGAAAAATCATAATATTTAAAACAATACAGCTACTCCCCTCAGACAAAAAATGAAACAAATAAACAGCGTGAGTACACTTGGGAGAGTGTTTGGAACAATTCTATAAAAAAAAAAATTCGTAAAAATATCAATAGATAGTGTCCTTATAAACTTGGTATCTATATAAAAAAGGCCTATATCTACACTTATTTATTTATATATCTAGATATTTAAAAAATTTTTTGTTAGATATTTCATGTTTTTGTAATACATATTTTAGCAAAAATAAGAACATAAATATTTACATATTTTGACTTTCTTATTATAAAAAAATCCGTGCCCTAATTATTAATATTATTTGTATGTTTTTATGTTTGTGATTTGTAAATAAAAAATAACTTAGATTATGCCGTACCCGTACGTGACTAACGCGGGTAAGTAACAACTAACTGCAACCTTGACGTAAAAACAACTAACAAGTATAAAATAAAAAAATAGTTATGAATTATGACTTATGTCTTATGAGTTATGACGTTATATCACCATAACTTCAAAACTAAATTTGACTGACAAATTCTGATTGCACTATTGTTCTTAGGTAACTCATTAGGTAATATAATTAAGTTTCAAGAGAAAAAATCGTGAAAGGCTTAGTAAACTAGAGCGTTGTGTGGTATATGTAAAAACTTCATAACGGTATAATTTTAAAACTAAGTCCAGCCGACAAATTTTGATTGCACCATTGTTCATAAATAGTTAATATACGTAAAATCCAAATAAATAAATTAAATCTACATGGTGTTAAAGTGCATTTTAGCTAATTTTTTTTTTTTACTAAAAATTGAAAATTAATTGAGCATAAATTACTTAAATTTTGTATGAATGATGAAATTTCAAACTTTCAAAAAAAAAAAAGAACAATTTATCCTTAAACAATATTTTTATTTTAATAGCATTCAAAAACTTTAAATAATTTTTTATCGAGGCTTAAAACATTCCAATAATAATTAAATCATAATTTTCGATATACATAGTCATTTTCAGAATATTTAGATTAATTTTAAAGTTTAAACTAATAATAGACAACCATAATTATACTGTTTTTGGTATGTCTGTATTTATTTATACATTAATAACAGCTAGTAAAATTGTATGAAATAATATTATAACACGCGTAATTTTTTATTGAAAAAATATTTCACTTTTTCAGTTATATGAAAAAAAATTCAATAGCAATTAACATAAATATATATGATAAAATAACCTCACAATTCACAACATAAGTCATTGAATTAAAATTTAACACACTCAATAGATGAGGCAAACTTGACATAATTTATACAATAGAGAGTTTCTATAGCTTTTGTGTTTGTTTAAAAAAATATTTTATAGCTATACTTGTAATTAAATATGATTAGTATTTTATTTATACTTTATAAAACGTTTTAAAAATAATTTTTACTCACTTTTAATTGAAAAAATTTTTTTCTTGGATAATATTTTATAGTAGGTTTTTTTCTAGTGTTAAAGATTTTTTTCTTGAAATTTTATCCTGCTAAATGTATAGACATTTACTAGAATAGTGGTAATAATAGTCCCATTACACTACGATCTCTGATTCGGTATTTTAAAAAGAGTCCTGACCCGTAGCCGTAGGTCAGAAATTTCTCTTGAAAAAATAAAAATAGTCTTTATATTATATATATTTATATCAAATGTTTAATCACTGAAAAGAATAATAAATAATTTAATATACTTATCTTAGTTCGTGGCCTATACATAATTTTATATTTATAGGTATAATAGGTAAACTATTATATCTATATACAGGTTAACAATGTATATCTCACAACAAAACGGTATACCTCAAGGATCCTCATTGGCAGTAACTATCTTTCTATTAGCAATAAATGACATCGTTGAAACAATAAGGACACCTGTAACTGCCAATCTATTCGCAGATGATTTCAACATCTTAATTAGAAGCCAAAACACAAAGACGGTACAATATTACCTACAAAAAACCATTGAAAGTCTTACAAAGTGGTCTTATAACACTGGCTTCAATTTTTCCAGTGAGAAATCCCAATATATTTTATTTTCAAAAAAAAGAAACCAAGAAATACCACAATTAAAAATAAACAACAGAATTATTCCAACTAAAAATCAAATCAAAATCCTCGGCATAATATTCGACTCAAAACTCAGTTGGTTACCCCATTTAAAAATCACAAAAACGTCTCTAATACAAAAACTCAATATAATAAAAATCATTTCACACACATCCTGGGGAGGCGACACCTCCTCACTATTAAAGATTTACAGAGCATTAATTAGATCTAAAGCTGAATATGGTTCAACCATATTTGGTACGGCCAACAAAAAATACTTGAAAATGCTTGATACACCTCTAAATACGGGATTACGTTACGCACTAGGTGCCTTCAAATCCAGTCCCATTGAAAGCTTGAGAAACTTAGCTAACGAGTTATCACCCGATTTAAGAAGAACATACAACACTCTTCTATATACAGCCAGATCACTCATAAATATCGAAAACCCTTCAAATAAATATCTAGCCAAAAACATAATAAAAGCTGAAGAATATCACATAGACTTAAAACATCTAGCAAGAACAAAACCCCCGTGTTTCCCCCCGTGGAAAACGTATTTTGACATAAACCTAGAAATTTCCGAATTCAAAAAAGAAAACACCAGTCCTATTATGTACAGAAACGTCTTTCAAAACACATTACAAAAATACCCCAACTACAAACATATCTACACCGATGCATCAAAAACAGACCAAAACGTTGGAATATCTATAATAACGGAAAACTCCTCCTCCTCCTACAAACTTCCCACTGTATGTTCTATTTACACAGCCGAAGCATTATCCATATATAAAGCATTACAAAATATAATCATAAATAAAGAAACGTCACACAATAAATATTTAATTCTTAGTGACTCGCTTAGCAGCTTAACTGGCATTAATAACTTTACAAATCCATCAGATATATCTAAACTTATCCAAGAAAAAACCTATGAAGTAAGTCAAAAAGGAATAGAAATAGCCTTCTTATGGATACCTGGACACTGTGGAATTGATGGAAATGAATTGGCAGATCAAGAAGCATCTAAAGCAGCCTCATCTACTGACACTCATATGCTAAATTTTAGTACTTATAAAGATTCTAAAAAACTTATACAGATGACCCTATTTCATAAATGGCAAAATCACTGGTCAAAACAAAACACCAAATTAAACACAATAAAAAATAATATCCAAGTATGGAGAAACCCCGGTTTAAAGAGGAAAGACGAAACTATTATAAATCGTCTCCGTATTGGGCATACCTTCGCAACACACAACCACCTCATGGCTAGAAAAGACCCTCCCATATGCGAAACATGCGGAGTGGTGGTCACTGTCAAACATATAATCATTGATTGTTCCATGTACGTAGACTCAAGATCCAAACACTCCATTCCACATCAACTTAGTGAAGCCTTACAGCCAGACCTTCAATCAAATATCAACATAATCAACTTCTTAAAGGAAATCAAACTGTACAACCTAATTTAAGAATTTTTATATCAATTGTAAAACCTTAAAAATAAAAAAAAAAAAAAAAAAAAATAATGTATTACTATAACTAATGGCCACGTAGCCGATGTTTCTTTTTGTTCAATAAAAAAAAAAAAAAAATGTATAAAACATTGCAGATTTTTCCTTTTAAGTTCTAAATTGTGATTTTTTTACATAATTTGAACCAAAATGACATAATATGTATAGTTATAAAAGTTAAATCCAGATAATTTTTCTGGGAGGACTTAATTTTTTTTCATTGGTGAATAGTAATACATTTTAGTATTATGAATTATATATATATATATATACCTATTATTAGTTATTACAATTTATAATTTAGACATTTTGGGAAAGTCAATAGATAGTACCTATACTGACAATACGGTATAAAAACATTGGGTACAAATAAATTATACTTTATTGAACATCATTACGCCCAGTAATCGTAACAAGTATTGTGCATTTGTGCATTTAATAAATAGGTACATTATAGTGAAAGTTGTATTTGTCTGGTATGCAAAAAAGTTTTTTAGTTTTTAATTTTTTTTTTTAAGTCAACGCTATTTTTTAAAATTCAACACAATTTTTTTATTTTAAACGCCTACAACATTTTTAACCATGCTTACAAAGATTTCCTCTCACTGTAGCTAGTCCTCAGACTCTAAATGGGAAGGAAAATGTTGTTAATTAGGAGCCGATACATCCATATCTCTGGCATCGGACTAAAGCCGATACAGCCACCTTCAAGTGAACGGAGGAAGCTGAAGCGGACAAATGAGAACGATGCAGATAACCAATAGGTATATATCTACTTCCAAAATACTTCATCACTTTGATAAAGCTAATCGTATCAAAATGTGTCTATAGTTCACGGATAATAATTAATATTATTCGTGTTTATAGTTTATACGAAATATCATCATTCATCTCAGAATAAATGACATTTAATTTAAAATTTATAATTTCAATTAGATTGTTGTTTAATAATATCACATAGATAGTTAGTGCTATCACGAATATTGTTCTATGGGTGGTGCTATATAGACAAATAGTAGGTATATGATGTGAAATATGAATGAGTCACATTATCTGTATTTATTACTTTATTAGTTTTAGTGATTAGTGATAACAACAATTCTTTTAGTAGTTCCATACCGATCATACCTATTACCTACTATTTAGGTACTAGACATTAGTTACTATCTACTTAGTACATAAATAAATACCTGCTGGCTGCCATAAAAGCTGGTGACATGTCTAACTATAGTAATTAATAACTAATATAAGTTATAATTAATTTTATTCTATTGTTTTATAGAATAAATAAAATGGTCGATGTCTATAGCTTGATAGTTGATGATGTTATTATTTTAATTGCCTAGAAGCATTGTTAGATAGTTTATACTTTATATTTCCTTCATAATGATGGAGCTAAGCCATAGTTTGCTGCTGAACGAAGAAGCATTAAAACAATTACCAGAAACTAAACGTCCAGTTTTCATCTTTGAATGGCTACGATATTTGGATAAAGTATTACTGACTTCTAAAAAAGTAAGTTCTCATCCTATTTTATTAAATACAAAATTTTTTGATTCTTAATAGTTATTAAAAACGCTGTGTGTCAACCTTTTGAAGTACATATATCTGATGTAAATTGTGTCATTTGGTCAATTACTATAATTTTATTATTAATAGAAAAATAAGGGTATTTACCTCGCGGTAAAAGGATATTTTAAATTTGAAATACTACTTTTTAAACTAAAAAAAAATGATTTTTATGCAAAAGTACTTAACACTGATCAATCTTGTTAGACAATAAGGATTTTGAAAACAAGTTTGTTTTTCTAATTGTCTCATTTGAATAGTATTAACTACTTTTAAAATAACTAGGAAATTCATTATCAAAATTTGACATGGAAAATTTCTAAATATTCTAAACATTTTTGTTTATTTAATCACAAATTATTATTTTTTTAAATAAATAAATGAAAAAAGTTGTTTGTATCATTTATGATAAACATATTAAGACATTCAAATCTGATATCAAACTATAAAATGTTTGATTTTAATACCCAAGTCTTGAAAATGAATTCAAGTTGTTTTTATTGAATTTTAAAAGTTCAACGTATTAATGTAAAGTCACTTGCTCATTATTATTTGTCAGTGTTTAATGCATTGATCTAGAATTTATTTTAAAAGAATTATTACTTATTAATTCAATTTAATTACTTTTATTATAAATATACTAATTATAATGGATTTTAATTATTATATTTTAGGTTGATATCAAAGAATGCCAAAAAAAAATAGTTGATCAGTTAACTAACTTAATTCAAGAAAACCCAGGTCCGCCAACTAGAATGTTAATTGCAAAATGCTTGTCTACTTTATTCAACGTCGGCGATACATTTCTTCTTTTTGATACAGTTAACAAATGTAATGATATGTTACGTGTCAAAGATGATTCATTGGCATACCTTTCTACAAAATTGTACGTATCAATAAATATTAGTTTTATAATTTAAGTTAGTAAAAACATCAAGTAAATTTTTGGTAATCTGGTATACTCAATATACCTACTGTATATTCAATATTAATTTAATGAAACAACAATATATAATTTTTTTTGAATTTTTTGAGATTTATCCACATAATTGTAAATAGATTTATCTCTAACTGTAAGACTCCCACATCAAACATTTTTGTATTTAATATAAATGTTTCTTTTTCTATTTTATTTATCGTTGTTGTATGCACATGTTTTAAATTACACTGATTAAGTAACACTTTTTATAAAAAAATTGCTTATTAATTAAAGGTCATATATTTTTATTATATTCTATTAATTGAAGTAAATAATTATTTTTAATTTGAAAATAAATCCCGCTTTAAGGTACTATTATTCATTGTCAGATATTTTATAAAATAGAATTATTACTAAAAGGGCACTATTACTCATTTATAGTCTTTTACAAATATCTAAGATTTAACATACTTATCGTGTTTAAATATATTTTATGGATAGAGTTAAAATATTTTTGCTCTTAAAAATTCTTAAAATTGCGGTAAGTATACCCAAAAAATATCAATCATAACATTGAAAAACAAGTTAAAAAATTGTATTATTTATTTTATTCATTCAAAATATATATTTCAATACATTTTTAATAATATAAAATACTTTTTCCTAAAATTTAAAAATGTTTTTTGAAATATAAATTTAAGAAAAATGATGTCAAGTATCCAAAACTTCACTGTATTGATTTGATTACTTGAAATATTTTTTTAGAGCTGCAATCACTTGTATGGGATTTATGTATAAAAATTTGGGACGAATGATGGGGCGTTCATATGAAGAAACTGTATATATTTTAATAAAATGTTTGAAAAATGCAGAATCTCAAATGAGAGTGGAGATAATTATAACATTAGAAAAGGTAATTGCTTTTACTAATTTATTTAAATTAATTACACTTATTCATGTTTTTATATTTTTAAATAGATTTGCTGTGGAATGGGAAATGTTATGGGTCATGTTCATAAAGATATTTATAAGGCTATTAAACATTCTCTGACTGATCGAGTAATGGCCGTTCGAACTGCTACTGCCAAAGTAACACAAATTTTTATTTTATTTTTGTAATAAATTATCATTATTTTTTTCTGTTTAGTGTTTATTTGAAATGATAAAACATTCCAGTTTTTTATATACATCAGAGTTAGAAAATGTAGCTACATTATGTTTCCGTGCATTTGAGAATGCAAATTATGAAGTAAGATGTTCCGTAGCAAAATTTTTAGGCTTTTTAATTGCTTCTACACAAATTCAAAACAAAGATCATCATTTAGGTATAAAACTGTAAATATACATTTTTATCTCAAAATTTAAATAAAATATTTATTCTTAGTTCAAACGTCAAAGTCAACAAAATGTGTCACATTAGAAGATTCATTAACCATATTAATGAATGGATTTTTAAGAGGTGGCACCGGGTTTCTTAAAGGAACAGGAGAAATTATTAAAGGAACTACTGGTAGTCACAGAGAAGTTAGAGTTGGTGTTACTTATGTAAGTTTAATACAAATAAATTTAAATAAATCATTAGTATTTTACTTTTTTTTTGTATTTAGACTTATGTGGAATTTGTTCATTCATTGGATATTACTTGGCTGGAAAAAAATTTAAATACTTTCATGCGACATGTTTTAGATTTAGTTGCTAATCCAAAATCAGCATCTTCTCATGTTGATGCAGTTTATTCTAGAAAGTGTATTAGTTTTATATTACGTAATGTTCTTGGACAAATGTTAAGTGAAAAAGCACAATCCTCTGCGTGTAAAGAATTAGCTCTAATTGTTAAGAAACAAATGAGTTCAATTGGTAAAATAATTGTTATAACTAAAATTAGCTACATTTATGAGATTTTATGCTATTTTAGATTTCAGTCCAGAAAACGCTAAAGATTTTAACCAAGAGACCATATTTGGTCAACACTTTTTAGTTTGTGCATTGCAAGAAATGGGCTGTTTATTGCTTAACATGGGCACAATGGCTAACAATCTTATATCAGATAATACCTGCAGTAAATTTTATTTATATATTGTTGGTTTATACATTTTTTCATTCATTATTTTTTCTTTAGATGTTATTGAGACAGCTTTATCTGTTATGGTACATCCAAGTCAAGCTGCTCGATTATCAGCAGCATGGTGTATACGGTGTGTATGTATTGCCTTACCAAGCCAATGCACTCCTTTAATTGATCGGTATATTTTACATTTATCATTATTTTTAATAAAAATAAATGAATTATGTATAATTATTGTTTATTAGATGTATTGAGAACATTGAGAGTACAAGAGCTACACCAGAAATAATATTTGGTTATAGTGCTGTACTTATTGGTATACTTGGAAGTGTTAATGTTTCACCTTTGGGTATCCCTCATATGCGAGGAAAAGTTAGTTTTTATATTATTTTATTTTATATCTTACAATAAAAATATAATTTATAATTTATAGATAATCTTTAATACTGCTGAAGATTTACTAAGAAGTGCTAGTCAAAATAGTCGACTATCACTAAGTAGAACTCAAGCTGGATGGTTGTTAATTGGTGGTGTAATGACATTAGGTAACATATTTAAATATTTCTTTTAATTTTTTTAAAAATTAATTAGAGGACACTTCACCCATTGTGTTATCTCTGTCATACTAATGTATAACACAGCAAGTTTGCATTCAACAGAGTTAATTTTATATTGTTTGCTTTAATATTAGAATCAATTTATTTATTAAAAAACTTCTAGGTAATAAAAGATTATCTTGAGAATTTCAAAAGATTTTATTAACCCTTCATTAGTTGCGTGGTTATTTATAACGTCATTGGTCGCGTTGGTTACTATTGTATCCCATACATAGAAAATTATTGTTTAATTAATACTATTTTTTAAATATTTTATTGTATTATAGAGAACTTTCAGAATGTGTTTATATAGATTTTAGACCAAAATTACCATACTATTGTTCATAGTAAATATAATATTATGTAATGCATATTAAATAAATATCCAATTTTAATAATACTTTAATTTTAATCTTACTTGGACAAAATCATAATTACTATAAATCATTCTTTTTCAACATTTTCCTCAACATAATCATCTTCTTCATCGTCACTCATACCGTCTACTTCATCATTATCTGACGATGAATCATTTACAGCATCTAGTTAGATCAAAATACAGTTTTATTCACGTTCATTCCTGGTAAAAATTAAAAAAAGAAAACCTTATCACAAAAATAATTACAGCAATAGTCACACAGGATACATGTGTTACACAGACGAGTTTAACCCTATACAACTTCGTCCAATAGATATTTAAATCGTAAATAACGATGATCAATGTAAGTAGCAAGTATTATCAAAAGGTACCTAAAATTAGACTTATCAAAAAACTAATTGCAATAAAGACATGACATGAATAATAACAGTAGGATGCGATAGTAACCTGCGCGACTATCGAATCAATATTATAATTTTAAAGCAAGTTATTAACATTTTAAAGTTATAATATTTTGCATATCTCTAAATCACTTTAAAATTTAAATACCAATAAACTATGCCCTAAATATGTTCTTACCTTTAAGTTTGATAATTGCTCTAATATTAAAACTAATAACATTAAATGGATTTTTCTGAATGCGTTTATACTATGTATATTAATAAGATACATAGATGATGGTTTTCTTAGAAAATAATAATAACTTATTTATAAATATAGGAGTTAGTGTTGTTCGAGGACTATTACCACGTATGCTTCTTTTATGGAGAAATTCTTTTCCACGATCATCCAAAGAACTTGAATCTGAAAAGGCAAGAGGAGATGCATTTACTTGGCAAGTAAGGATCACTAAAAATAATATTTGTATAACTGAAGATGTAATTCTTGAAATGTTAACTTTATTTTAAATATTATAGTTGATTTTGGAAGGTCGAGCAGGAGCTCTTGCATCTATTTACAGTTTCTTATTCAACTGTAATGAACTAGTCACAGAAGATATAATTAGAAGATTATTAATTCCAATCGAATCTGCTCTTGCAATGCTAATTAAGTATATATTTATATTATTTTGTATTTATTTTAAGTATATTTTGATATAAAAGTGATATGTTAAAGTTAACTTAAACCAAACTTGTAAAGGTAATAAATATATTGATTAAATAAATTTTTAATATATTTTTAGTATGAATTCAGTTGTTAAAAGCTGTGGTCAACACTTAAAAGCTCCAATAGCACTAGTCAGATTGAGATTATATGAAACACTATCTCTGATTCCTGCTCAAGATTTTGAAGGTAGCTTAATTCTGATAATATCATTTTAAACTATATTTCTTAGAGGTGGTTTAGTATGTTTCTAAAGTTTCTTAATTAAATATTATTTATCTCTACAAAATTATATAATTACAGCTTCATTTACACATGTTTTAAGACTGTTGGTCTCAGAATTTACGTTGGCAGAAAATCCTGCTAATACTGTTACATCCAAATTAAGATATGTTTGTAAAAATGAAGAAGGAATATTGTTGGGAATATGTCCGGTTCAACATTCACATCATCAAACAATTGAAGATCAGGTAATGGATTCTTTATTGTTTTATTGTACTTAGTAAATAATATGCATTTGGCTTATTATACATTTTATTTGACAAAATAATTATCGTTACATTAGTTATCCTTGGTTTAAATTAACTAATTTTTTGGTTTTTAAATTGCTGCTTATAATTAAGGTGGATTGTTCAAGAAAAGTTGAATATGATTATGTAAGTCGTCATGAACAAATATGTATGTAATATTCACTTTTTTTATTCTGCAACTTAAATAAAGTAATTATTAAAGTTAGTATCGTCCATTGAGGGAAATCAACTTGAAAAATCTTTGCTATTGTAAAATTAAAATACTCTAAAACATTGTATTTCTTAACACACATAATTTGGTATTTGCATTAATGCTTCTTTTAATTTTATTTCTATGAATATTTTATCTGAGAAAAACATATTTTGTATTTTAGTTTTTGTGTTTATAAGCTACAAAAACATAGATTATTATCTTTTGAAGTAAAATTAACTATTATTTTATGTTTTTTATACAAATTGGTTAGGTTACTGCTTTTATGTTTCATACTCCCTGACTTCGACCAAGATATTTAAAAAAAATAGTATTTTTATTAGACAGTTGGTGCTATTTCTGAATTCCTATTTTTGTATTTATCTACCTTAATAGCAACATGTATAAAAATAAAAATGTATACTATTCTTTTCAATGATACATTTCCAATGATATTATATCTATTTTTCTTCTATTATACTTACAAAGTTATTTATAAAATAAATAAATAAATAAATAAAAGTGTATCAATAAATAGATTTTAGAATAAAAATTAAACATACTACTAATTTTTTAACAATTTAAAAATCTTAATTGCTTCTAGGAGAAATGTACAATCTATGTGTTAACCTACATCCTTTAAAATATTTTTATCCTGAAATACTATTTTTATTCAACACATTGATAGTAGATAAATTCATAAAAAAGTTCAGCTTGGATAGTAATCTATTATTATTAATTTTAAAGTAATAATAAATAATTTCAGTATAAAAATAGGTAATAACTATTCTTAGCAATGCTTTGTTAAAACAAGAATATTTGATAAAGTTACAACTTACAAATAAATTGTAATTAATTGGTAAGTCGGATGACTTGTAAGTTTGAAATGAGTTGTTTTCTTACTTTACTTTCATAGTTGATAATATGATTAATAATTCTTTTTTAAAAGGTGGGAAATAGGTATTGCTCGACTAAAGGTGTTGAGTGGGTTACTGTGATAGGTATGTTAAATAAGAATTCAATGATGTATCATTTTTATAAAAAAAAAACAATTCTGAAGCGTATATCACTAAGTATATTTTATGAAACAATTTTTATATAGCTATTTAAGTCATTTATTTTACTTTAAGTATTATGGTAGGTCGATAATTTTTAATTAGATATACAAAATTTTAGGAACCTTATATTAAATTTTCAAGCATTTATGCCTAATCATTTTTTTATTGACATTTATTTAAAAAAAAAAAACAAAACTATAAAAATCAAAAATTTAAATTACCTAAAAACAGTCAAAATAATTTGTGTTATTGTATCATGTATAAAAATATAATATAAACATTTAGTTAAAAATGCATGTATATGGATATACCTATATTTTTAAATAACAACTAAATTTCAAAAAATCATTTGAGGAAAAATAATTATCTTACAATCTTATGTACATACCTTGTGTACATGAAATGTCGTAAAAATTTGAATTAAGTCTTTGATGTATTCACTTTTATTAAATGTTTTATTAAACATTTAATACTTCATAGTTATTATTTGATTATTTTTTTATTCACATCATTACAATTTCAAACAATTATAAGTTTATTTTTCTTCTTCAATTGAAAATTAGAAAAAAAATCTTGATTATTTTATTGAATAAGAAATATAATTTTATCAATTTATAACATAAAGCGTATAATATTTTTTTTCAGCTGATACAAAATAATGCCATAGGATCAGGTGCCTTAGAACATGATCCTAGATATCTTTATCTCTCAGTTTCTAAAGTAAGTATTAAATGAATTAATAATAATAACTAATTAGGTTTGTTTTTATTTGATAATGTGTTACCTTGCTTGAATTTTACAAAAGATTTGGCTAATAATAATAATTTATATTGGTTCTTAGTTTAAAAATTATTTTGTTTTAATTCAAATAACTATCATGTTCCACATATTAAAAATAAGGAGATATTTTAAACGAGTTAAAAACATTTTGTTTTCAAACACAATTTGTATTTCACTTTATATATTATTTTTATATTTAAAAAAAAATTTTGGATGCTTCAATTTTTAACAAAAAAAAAAAAAAAGAAGAAGAATTATTTATGCGATAGCACAACGATTATCTGAATGTATTTATTGATTTATTTTATATTTTATATTTTCATTTCGGGGTACTGAGTTATTTTAAAATTATATATTTATCTACTTTATTTTTGACTAACTTTGTATTTTAGTTTATAAATAATTTTAAAGTTAGTAAAAAACAATTATTTACCTTAATAAATTATTCATTGTATTATGCTTAATTAAATTAAAATATTTTCTAGGATGATAACATACCAAGTCCCTTGCCACTTGGTGTTTCTGTAATTGACGCATCTGTTACTCTTTTTGGTTTAATATTTCCACGTGTGGCCAATAAGCACAGAATTCAAATGATAGACCATTTTACTGATCAAATAAAATACTCAAAGTCATGCCGGTGTGATGCTATTTCAACCAACATTTTTGCTTCATTATTAGCTGGTCTTAAAGCACTTTCAGATACCAAATCAACAATTGGTCACGAAGAAATTAAAACAACTACTGCTACTCTAATTACAGTAATATATTTTATTTTTTTATTATTTTAAGAATTGTATATATTCAGTTTTGTTTCTTTATTATGGTTGTTAAATTTAATTAAATTTTAGAATGCATTAACTAATGGTAATACAATTCTGCGAGTGGCTGCTGCTGAGAGTGTTGGTCGTATGGCTCAAGCAGTTTCAGATTCAAGATTTACTGCTATGCTTGCTCAAACTAGTTTTGATCGTCTTCGTTGTGCTAGAGATGTCCCTAGTCGAACTGGACATTCATTAGCTCTTGGATATTTACACAGACATGTTGGTGGTATGGGATCATCACACCATTTGAATACTAGTGTTAGCATTTTACTTGCGTTAGCTCAAGATACCACATCTCCAATTGTTCAAGTATTTAAAATAATTAAATAATTAAAAATGTTTATGTTTAATTGATTTGTTAAATTTGTATTAGGTTTGGTCTCTTCATGCACTATCTCTTATTGCAAATTCAGGGGGACCAATGTTTAGAGGTTATATAGAACCTTCACTATCGTTGGCCTTAAAACTTCTGCTGATAGTTCCTCATTATCATGCTGATGTTCATCAATGCATTGGTAAATTGATTTCATCTCTAATTACTACAATTGGACCAGAATTACAAGGTATGTATGTCTAAATTATATAATGAAGTAATTTACAATATATTTTTTGTCACAATAATGGTTATATATTAATCAAATATTGATGTATAATAGTATAAATAAATAAATACTATTTCTAAAAAGATAAAACTTTTTTAATACTTAAATTAAAATTTATTTATATTTGTTACCTTCTTATTCTTTTAAATGTGAAACTTAACAAAAAATAGACTTTTACAGAGTATTTAATGTATCACACAATATTAATAAGTTTTATACATATATTATTTATTTTTGATAGTTTTAATATTTTATATTAAAACAAGTTATTCTTATATTTATCTAAAAAGATAATGTTTTCAAAACTATTTTCAATAAAATCAATTAATTTAAATATTAAATTGTGAAAGGTTTAATCTTCTGTTTTAAGAACAATTATATATTTTTCATTATATTTATATTTGACTCATATGACAAGCATCCTTCTATACATTTGACCTTTAATCAAGCTTAAAACTAATTTGACTTTTTAAGGCTTAATGTTTTAATATTAAATTTGCTTAATAATTTATTCGATAAGATATTTTTATGTATTGCAAATATTTTAAACAATGATAACTTATTCTATTTTATATATTTATCACTAAATATCATTGATTTATTAATAAAAATTATTTTCAGGTAATTCAGCATCAATTACTACTGCACGGTCATCTTTTTTGTGCGCATGTGCTATTATGCAAGATCATGAAGATCCATTAGTTCAAGCAGAATCTACAGTATGTCTACAAGAATTGCATATGTTTACACCACGACATGTCAATTTGACAGCTTTGGTTTGGACTTTGTGTGTAAGTAATACAAATTGTATTATTTTAACACTATATTAATTTATAATAAAGTTTTGAGAGTTTTAACTAACAATATAGTTCACATTTGTATATTATATTTCATGTATCAACTACTGAGAGGCTAGATGCACATTATTCAACTAATCACCACCACACAGTATGGTGTTAGATTTTTCTCTCCCACTTGTGGGAGTACAAATAATGTTTAATAATTGGGATCTCTTCTTTTAATTTAAACTTTTAAGCACATTTACTGTATTAGTAATTATTTAATGGTCTTTAGTCTATTTCAATATTAAAATTATAAGATTTTGTTACCAGTATTATGCATTATTTGTGTTATAGTATAAACTATTATTTTAGTTAATAAGTTTTTTTATAAACTATATTTATAAATTAGATGTATACATTAAATAAATCAACAGTTCTCAACTTCTTTATATTCTAGTACTACTTACAATTTCTGGAAATGTCCAATGTTTATGTTTTACTTGTATGTAAAATATTATGTTTAATATTAATAATTTTAATTGTTTTATTCAAAGTCACATTCCTCCCACAAGCTTTTTGCATATCTTGAGAAATGGTAAAATAGGATGTGAATTTATTTTCATTTACAACAATTACATTAGATATAGTAACTTCAAACTTCAACAATTAAACATAAATACCTGTTATGACTAAAATGCTTTAAATTATATTTTATAATAAAATAATTATTTATCTAAAAAATTACAGCAAAATTTATCAAACAGCCATTTACTCCTAAGAAAAGCAGCAGTTTCATGTTTGCGACAGTTATCACAGCGTGAAGCAAAAGAAGTTTGTGAAATTGCAGAGTCATTTGTTAAATCTCCTGAAAATATTAATAAAGATGGTAAGTAATATAGTAGTAAGTAATTTTTAGTAATTTTATATTTTATTCAAAGTGGGAAATCTATTATTTTTAAGATAATTTATATTTTATTTATTTGTTTACTTATAATTACATTTTTTTAAATAGAAGGATTTATTTTAAATTTTGATTAAATGTATTTTTATTATTTATAATATTATTAAATTTTTACTAATTAAAAAAATAAATTATAATTTACAAATAAAATATTTTTTCTGTTTTTTAACTTAAATTTTATTTAAAATTATAATGATTTAATATTTTTATTATTATTTTTAGGATTTTTATTGACTGAATCTGGATTACCAGGAGTATTATTTAATATGTTAGACACAGAAATGGATAAACAACTAATCAAAGATATTCATGATACCCTCATTAGTATGCTTCAAATGTTAGCTGTTGATAATCTTACAAAATGGATAAATTTATGTAAATCAGTTTTAACTGTTTCTTCAGGTATTATTAAAATTTTGATTTACAATTATTGTGTTAAAATATTTATAATAATATCCCATGCAATTTCTGTAGAATTAAATAATAAAGAAGTAGATAAAACTGATGGAGCTATAATGAATGATGAAGACGAAACAGGAGATGATCATGATGAATTTCAAAAAGATTCTAAAAATGAATTAGTAAAAAGAAAACGACAACCCAGATGGCCAACTAGAGTTTTTGCTGTTCAATGTATTTGTCGAATAATATCTACATGTCATAAAGAATGTGACTCTTCTCCACATTTTAATTTATCATTAGCAAAAGAATTATCATTTACTAATAATAAAGGTATGGGAAACAACTTGAATTACGTTTTTCTATATGCTTTATAGTGGTTGTTGTTATTATTTTTATTATTATGCAGGAGATTATTTGATTCTTCATTTGTCTGATTTAATAAGAATGGCATTTATGGCAGCAACTAGTGATAGTGATCAATTACGTTTAGAAGGATTTGAAACTCTTAATGAGATTATTGAAAAATTTGCTCAAGTACCTGAACCTGAATTTCCTGGTCATTTATTGTTGGAACAGTTTCAAGCTCAAGTACATTTTTATCTTAACCAAGTATACTATAATGTGTATATAATATATTAAATATAATTTAAAGGTGAGTGCTGCATTAAGACCAGCGTTTTCTGAAGACACTCCTAGTCATGTTACAGCTGCTGCATGTCGCGTATGTGGGACGTGGATAGGAAGTGGAGTCGCACGGGATTTGAATGATTTAAGACGAGTTTATCACTTATTAGTTACATCTCTTAAAAAACTCAAACCTGGTTTCAATATAAATTTTAATAGTTTATATAATGAAAGTGTTGCAACATTTGAATGTTTAGCTATACTTAAAGCTTGGGCCCAGGTTATTGATACTTTTACTTACAAACAATTTTTCATTTAAACGTAATTAATTTGACTAATAGCTAATTTATTTTAGATTTATATTATTGCTATGATAAATAATGGTATTGCTCCAGAAAATTTCAATAAAAACTCTCGTTCAAATGTTTGTGAAACTAATGACGATTTTGGAAATTATGAAGGACAAAATGATAGTCTATTGACTTTAATTCATCCAGAATTAGATATGTTATCTAAAAATTGGCAAGCTGCTCTTAAGGATCATGCTCTTCTATTACTACCATGTGGTACACACATTTTTGTTTTACGCCTATTTTTGGACAATTAACCATCCCAATTTATATTTTAAATTTATTTAAACAAAATTAAGCTTTATAAGAGATATATTATTATTTGTTTGTAATTGAATATTTAAAATTCTATGTAGAGTTTAACAGTCAACTTCCCCACGAGGGTGGCGCCTTTTATACATCAAATACTATTGATAATAGCAGAAGCCATTATAAGAATGCATGGCCTCCAATTTTGTATGCTTTATCATTATGGTTAAATGCCGAGGAATTTAAACATGAAAATACTAACATACCTAAAGAATTGCAAGATAAATTTTACTTAATATTTGGTAAATTTAATTTCTTTTATATTTTTACAATTTCATATTCTAAAATTATAATTATTTACTTATTACTTAATTAATTATATTATTTCTAGGAATTTGTACTGAAGCAATATGTAATCAACGGACTTTGGAAAATTTAGAAAATTTTATTACTTGTCTTAAATCATTATATACTATATTAGATTCTTCCTTAGCTAGACGAATGATGATGAAAAATTGTATTTTAGCAGTGGAAACACTAAATATTATGCACAAGTAATATTTATTTGTTTATTTTATTATTTTTGTATTAATCTAATTCAATTAAAATCTTATAATATTGATTATTTTAGATTACTTTTAACGAATGATAGTATAGAAGTACAGCAAACTATAATGAATATTGTGAAACAAATAGTAAAAGCTGCTCAAGAAGATTTAAAAATAAAAAATTCAACTACTTCTAATGGTATTAACAAATTACTAATTCTAAATATTTTCTTTTTAGCTTATTGTCTTATTAATAAATTTGTTTGGTCTATAGATAAAAGTATTGGATCCTCAACTGCTGCTGATGTAGCATGTTTAGGTGATGGTGGACAGGATGGAGTTTTAGAACATGATAAAAGTATTGTATTTGCCACATTAGAAGTTTGCATGTGTTTGATTGTTCGACAAATACCAGATATGAATCCAACACCTTTAGTGTCTTCAACTAGAAAATTACATTCAAATTGTTTAAACCATAATGTTATTGCTACAACATTAAATATTATGGCCCAGCTTCCAAATCTTTGTTCTCCGAGTGGTAAAGTGTTTACTATTTTTACATACTTAGTAATAAATAATAATAATATAAATTATGCATTATACACATTAAATCTTATTTGTAGGAGGTGTTCAAATACTTCCAACAATTGCATATTTAATAACCAATGTACTGAAAGAATTAGGAGAAACTAATGGTTCTAGTGAAACATCCAAAAATAAAGTTTCTATTTTAGCTGCACTGGATGCTTTTCATGTACTCTGTAAACATCCTTTTGGATATCACAAAGTATCTGAAAGCAAATGGAGGTCACTTCTACAGAGTACAGTTGCTAAATTGATTGATATATCTAAAACTGGTAATTATATCATTAAACTATTTTTATCGATAAATTAGATAAGTAAAATAAACTTTTTTTTCATTAATTGTATACAGGAGATGAAGGAAAAAAATTAAATGAAATAACAATGCTATCTGTTATCACTGTATTTACATTGCATGCACCACCTGGTGTAATGTTTGTTCAAAATATTTTATATCCTTGCATTAATTACTGTACACAGTGTTTTGGAAGTGATAATATTCTTGTGAGTATAAATTAAATATTATGATTCTTATGTACATCATTAATATAAAAAAATTGTTTTTTATTGTACTATGAATTAAATAGTTTAAATTTTTTTGTATGATAAACAATTTGTTAATTACATAGGTAAAAACAAAATGCATTCAATTCCTTAAAGCTGTTTTTCAACTTGAAGATAAATATATTGCAACAGGTTACATTCAAGCACTAGCACCACGCCTCATGGAGTTATTATACGTGGAAATACCAAATGATTTATTGGAATCTAATTTGAAAATGCTATGTGAAGCGATTAGTGCAGTTGAATGCTTGGTTCAATTAGCACAACCCAAACACAGTAATTTTAAACAAATATTTTATTAAATTAAACAAGAATTGAAAAAAAAAATAGAATTAAAAGATCTTGGACATTTTTTAATTTAAAACATTGCTTATCCCTTATCTTATATGTATTGTATCAAATCATATTAAAATAGTGATTAATTAGTATAATATATAAAATGATTCATTACTTAGCATACTCTCCCCCTTTTTATCCTTTAATAATTAATTTATCCAAATTATGATTTTTTCTCTCTAAATATACTTAAAGACAATACTTTTAAGTTTTTCATACTTCTTTTACTACTTAAGGAGATACCTGTGGAAATAGAAACTTCTAATTTTCCCTGGCTGAAAACTAATATGTAAAAAAATATGTAAAAATATATGTAAATATATGTAAATATGTAAACTCCTACATCTTCTGCAATGTCTCTTATCGATAAAATTGACATTGGACAACATTGATTGATGCTGTCAATTTTTGTTCTCTCATGTGCAGGGGAAATGTTGTTTATTACACATAGAATATTTCTTCAAATTATGAATGTTGATAGTTTAGTATAAATTACTGAAGTTTTTAATCACCAAAGCTCCTTTATCTATTAAACCTATTGTAATTAACCAAGAATACTTATACAAAATTAAATAAATCAAAAAATACTAATTCAAATTTTGATTTTGATATGAAATATAAGACAAAATACCACTTTTTTTGTCACTTTGTATATCAATAAAAATCTAATTTATTATACTTAATTTTTATTTTCAGGAATTCAAATGTTATCATTGCTTGTACCATCTTTAATTAACTTTCTTATAGACACAGAATTGACAAAATATGACTCTACTATTTCTAAATCACGGTCTAAACTGCATGAGTTTAGTTTACAATGTTTATTGAAAATTGGGCCAATTTATCCACAGGTATATTAATTGCTATTTGGAATAAACATTTTCAAAAATGTATGTAGTATATATTTGTTATTATTTCAGGAATTCAAAGTTATCATGTCTCAAAATAATAAATTGAAAACAAAATTGGAACATACCATTAAAACTACTAAATCACAACAACAGTTTAACTCTGGTTCTCATGTACCACAAAATATAACAAAATCAATCCAGCCTTCTATCACATTGAAGACAGATTTCACTAACTTTAGTTAACATTAAGAATTATTTATATATTACATATTTACGTAACAGTTAAACAGTTTTAAATATTTTTACTAGAACTTTGATTTTTTTTATCACAGAATTATTAATAGAATACATGTATTAAGTTACCAATTCTATGATGGACTGAAATCATTGTTAATTAATTTTTTTATTTTTAAAGTATTTGTATATTATATAAAAATTATAGTTAAAAACATAATGAATTAATTATTTATGAATAAATTTATTGAAATATTTAAGCCAAGTAGATTTAAAGACTGATTTCCCAAAAATTGTTATCCAAATTGTCTAAAATTATTAAAGAAAAAAAAAATAGCAAATTTAAAATCTCTAAGAAAAATTAATTTGACTTACTAGAAAATAATTATTGACAAGTATGCACAGTTTTTATTTCAAGTTTGATCCAGATACGAGTATGTGGTGAAGAACAACCCAAATTATATAAACTACAGAAACACAACAAAAAAACTCACTTTAATACTAGTGTACTAGAGGGCGACATGATAACACATCAAGATCACAGAAGCAAACTGATGAATATAAATTATTCCATCATTTTATATTTATTATTTTGAAAGTTAATTAAAAACCAATTGTTGACGTTCTATTAATATTTTATTCCATGTGATTAATATACATACAAAATTAAAATTTGTTATTCTTTTTAACAAATTATTTAATTCAACACTTGCTTCTTAGGTTAGCATAAATTACTATATTTGAGTACCTAGTACCTTAGAAATATGAATAATTTGTCTATAGCACATTTTCAATTGTAATGATTTAATGTGTTATTTTGCAGAACATCTAATCATATTGTAACCTTTTAATAAAAATGTAATATGATTTTTTAAGAATATCCAATCTCTGAGTAGTTAAAGAAAAAATAGAAAAATCTTTGAATAATGCCAAAAATCTTTTTAATATTCTAGTAAACATTTATTAGTGACGTATAAACCGGAATTAACCTGGCTAAATCATTTATTACACTGATCAAAGCTTAAACACCTTTCCATTTTCCAGCCATAATAGCTCCATTTTTTTATGGCTGACAGCTATAAATTTAAAAATAACTTCTCAAAAGTACCATTTAGATGAGAACCTGGAAATGAACACACATGTATCGACTAGATCAAGTGTGTCGGTCAAAAAACTATTTTAAGTAAAATATTAAATAATTATAAACACATTTGCAAACCCCACATAGATCCCTCTGAATCTCTTACAATTGTAACCTATATATTATACATAAAGTTAATTGATTTGCAATTCACTCAAATTGAATGTATCATTTGTATGTGCAGGACCATTAATTCGAGTATAAGCCTTAAGTGTCCATTGTTCACTACTTATTAATTCGTTACCTAATTAGGTACTTAGTGATTAATCGTGCATTGATGCATGCTGCAATTGACGTTATTCAATAAACATTAAACAATATCATTCGTACTGCATTGTGCATATTATAATTCAGCGTGTAATGAACGATAATTTGAACCAATTAGATAAAATAACAACGCAAATTATCAATAAAAATATTAAACCCTGAAAAATTACATCGCACTAATGTCTCCAGTAATTTATTATTATTATTTTTTACCTGTAACCTGTATTATCATTTTCAAAATGGCAGTAAATTGTTTTCAGCGACGGCGCGCGTCGTAAGCAACACAATCATCACGTGTGTTCTCCGACGGTGACGACCGAAAGGCGAAATAATCACCATTCTCTAACGCCGCCTGAGCGAACGGAATCACCGCCGACAACGTTTTCCCAAGCAATAACCCACCAAAGTGCGAAAAATAATTACGAATTCAGAGATTTTCAATTGTCGTGGATTTTGGAAATGCAATTTTTCAGATATTTAGAAATATCAAAATCACAAACGCTCTTGACATTATGTATTCATAACTATAGCTCGTAAGTTATAGGAGCTATAAATATAATCTGTGATAATGTATCTAATATCTATTCACAATACTACAGTCAAATTTGCTTATTACGATCTTCAAGGGACCAGAGAATCTGATCATTATGAACTTCGTTATATCCGGATTATAAAATGTAACAACACATAAGATATAAAACCAACCAAATACATTGCTTGGAATCGTTTTACCCGGAATATCGTTGTAAACGGCATCGTTATAACTTATAAGCGAATTCGACTGTACACCATAGTAATAACTATAAAAAAAATTATACTATCGCATTATTTATATTAGGTATGTGTTGCGGTGATCAGAAAGGTCAATTTTTTAGCAGTTTATGATTAACACTTATCAGTTTATCAGTGTAAATTAAAAATGTCTACGCACGTGGAATGTGAATATCTAGATATTTAATATTTATACAGTCTTACATTTTATTAAATAACAGCATACTACGTTCGAAAAAGAATTCAATCTGGCGACGGCGACCAGTTTTCGTCAGATAAACGTAGTGGTCATTGTCCACTGGTCAGGTAACACCCGTTTTGACGTTGTCACTTGTCACCTCACTGAGTCAACCATTTATTTTGTATCCTTTTGTAGTGCTGTGTAATTGAACCGCACTATTGTGCATAAGTTGTTCTATCTCAACTTAAACAGAAATATAGAATACTATTAAGTTATTTTCGTTATTTCTTACTTATTAGTAAAATGTGTAATTTGTAATGTCATTGTTCATAAATCTAAATTGTTAGTAATTATTCATACATCATCTTCAATCTGTCAGTCTTCATGGTTCACACATATCTACCTATTACATATATTTTGATGAATTTAAATGTTGAAACAAATCATTTTTAATTCAGTGATTCAATGGATTTTAATTAATTAACAATATAACAATTTACGACAATAGTTTAGGGTGTTTATATTTGTGAACAGGTACCTATCTAATTTGTGTATAAGTAGTGACTTATACGTCTCCTTATAAGAACATAGTGGATAAACTCAACTTTATTTAGCTATTTTTTTCTAATATTTTGTTTGGAGAAAACAATTCAGTTATCTAAATTTATGTATAATGGTAAGTTATTAACATTTTTATTTGTTAAATGTAATAATTTAAATTGTAATAAAATTGGCTTAAAAGTATTAGTCTCATGTTTTATAGTGATCAGTCGAATACCCATAAATTAATATTTGTCAATTTATTTAGGGTTCATTAAGGTCCTTGGTTTATATTTCCTCTGGAGGATGTATTTTGTGGGCAGGAACAAATCTTATCACGCAGAATGAAAAATTTTATCAGAAATTTATTATTCCTGCATTCTTTACTTTTGATCCAGAAAAAGCTCATAACCTTTTAATATTTTCTGGAAAATATGGTCTCATACCAAAATCATTTTATAAAGATCCACCGACATTGGTAAGTTAAACATTTTATCATCCAATTCTCATTATTTAAACAAATAATTAGTTATTAACAAATAATAAGTTATGAGTAATGTGTTGGATTTATTATTTTTTTTTTCTAGAAAACAAAATTATGGGATTTGAATTTTACCAACCCAATAGGTCTTGCAGCTGGGTTGGATAAACAAGGCGAAATAACAAAAGCATTAAAAAATGTAGGGTTTGGTTTTGTAGAGGTTGGTTCAATAACACCTCTACCTCAACCAGGCAATGAAAAACCAAGAGTGTTTAGACTTTTAGATAGTCAAGCTATTATTAATAGGTTAAAATTGCACACAGTTTTAGTAAATAATATTAATTTAATGAAATATATTATATTGTATCATTATAGGTATGGATTCAATAGTGATGGTCATAATATTGTATTTGAAAGACTTAAGAATCTTAAGCAACACCAAAACTTTGATGGTATAATTGGTGTTAATTTAGGAAAAAATAAAGAGTCCGAAAATGCAGCTGATGACTACGTGAAAGGTATTGAAAAGTTTGCTCCAGTTGCAGATTATTTTGTTATAAATATATCCAGGTAAAATAACTAATTTTACTTTCAAATCTATTCTTTCTACATATTTTAAATTAATTTTTTTTTTTTTTTTAATGTTTAGCCCTAATACTCCAGGTCTAAGAAATTTGCAAAAGAAAAATGATCTCATAAATCTACTTTCAAAAGTTGTGGAAGCAAGAAATCAGTTAAGTGGAGAACGCAAAATTCCATTATTATTAAAAATTGCTCCCGATCTTACTGATCAAGACAAAAAAGATATCGTTGATGTAATAATTAATAATAAAAAGGTAAAATTATATTTTAGTTCAATGAATATTAAACTCAAAATTTTCTTGAGTACTTTTTGGTTTTAGTGTAAAGTTGATGGATTAATAATTTCAAATACAACTATTAAACGAATTGGCGTTTATGACAATCCCAATGCATTAGAACCTGGTGGTCTTAGTGGGAAACCACTACAAGAAGCATCTACAAAATTAATTTTAGAATTCTATAAATTGACAAATGGTGAATTATAGTAATATAATAACTTGATAGAATTAATTGTACTTAGAAATTAAATTTTATTGTTTAGGTAAAATACCAATTATTGGAGTCGGTGGAGTTTTTAATGGTCAAGATGCATATGACAAAATTAAAGCAGGAGCTTCACTTATACAAATTTATACATCTTTTATATATAATGGCCCACCAGTTATAGTTAATATTAAAAAGGAACTAGATTATCTCCTGAGGTAATAAATATTAAAAACATGCAAATACTAATTTAAGTAAAGCTAAAAAATTGCAACTAATGTGTTACCTTATTGAATCTTGTCATTTTATTCAATAACATTGAATGTAATTTTTAAGCTTTGAATACAGATTCAATTTATTTATCAAACCAATATAATTTTAATTAATTGAATTTAAAATAAATTAACAAATAATCAATTATAAATTAAAAGTCAATATATCATTCATTTTAGTTGTTAAGCTATAAAAATGTGTTGGTAAAAACTAAAAAAAAATTATAATAATCTTTTAATATTGATTAATTAAATACCAACAATTATACATTTATTTACCTTTATAATTATTTTTATTGTTAACACTTACTCTACAATAATAAGTATGCTTAATGTTTTAATTTTATTTGTTTATATTTTATAATTTTAGGAAAGATAAGTACAACTCAATATCCGAAGCAATTGGTGCAGATGCCAGACTGTAAAGTACAATAACTCAAATAACTGTTTATTTTATTTAAAAATTTGGAAATTTTCAATATAATTTTTTTTATTTGCATTAATTATTTTATTATTTTTATATTATAATATAAATAATGTATAAATTATAACAATTTAATATAAGAATTGATAATAATCAAAAGTGATAATATGATCTTTAATTTTTTATTTCCAATCTATGTTTTTTGAATTTTTTATATTATTTTTAATCATTAAAAAGAATTACCTTTGGAGGAGTGCTTCTCAGAAAACCATGTTGAGGCTCGTGAGTTTTACCACAAGATAAATTAAATCTTGTGTTAATTATCTTCTTTACTGTGATCTGTATAAAATGGTATGGTTATATTATACAGTATAATTTGGTCGCCTAACATTTTAATTTGTATTTTCAAAAAAGATTCTATCTTAAAAGGACTATGTCAAAGATTAAAACAAGAATGTAATCAATTGCAGTATTTATTGTGAGTTAATTAGCAAATCAACAAATAAATATTACTAATTAACTAGGTACACGTGTCGTATGCTATCTACAAAAAATTAATACTAGTGTCGTATACTATATTACTATCTACGTGAAAAAAATGTATTCTCACCTTGCTTGTAGTTTTACAGTTGTCAATGCAATTATAATAGGTTTATAAAAATGTATTTTTTATGTCTCTCAAAAAACTTTTGAAAGTATTGGTTAGATTGACTGAACGTCACCATTATTCTTGTAATTGCCTGTCGAGTAGTTTTGTTGCACCACGTGATCTTATATTGTAGTTGACCTTTAGGTGTCTCCATAAACACTCAATTGTTTGAGTTTGAGCACCTGTATGCGGATCTATGAAGTTCTTACTATGATTAACAGTTTGGTGAAGAAAACCGTAATTTTTTAAAGTGCTGTATGCTCTCCACTCATTTGAATGAACTGTTGATCCTGGTTCTATTTCTTGAATTATTATTGGTAATAATGTGTCTCGATCCCTCTTATTGACAATAAAAAAATAATGTAGTTAGCATACGACACCAATAAATCGACCGTAAATAGCATACGATACGTGTACCATTAACTACTTTATCATGGATGTTGTATACTGTGTAGTAGACAGTTAGATTTTTACAATATTTTCTATATCATTGTCTTATACCTATTGTTAATGTTAATAATAATTTATAAGGAAATAATGAAATTTGTTTAAAATAGTATAAATTACATGCCTGCACATTACAATTTAAAAGATATCCACAGCTGCACATGACTACACATAACTTATGCAAAACCAGTTTTCGACCAAATCGATTTTTTTATATGGTTATAATTCAAAAACTAATCACTGTAAATACTTGAAATTTTCACCAAATGTTTATGTTAGTGTTATCTATATACAGTTTAATTTTCAAAAATTTTTGACTTTTTTTGAGTCATTTATAGACCACTGAAATTATCGATTTTTATGAGAATTTTTTTTTTGAAGTGTCGATAAAAAAATGTTGGATGACCAAAAAATTTTGAAAATTTAATACAAGGTTCCCTATGAGTTGTTCTTATTGTAGTTTAAAAAAAAAATAAAAATCGTTAGTCACATGATTTAATTTTCAAAATATTTTGATTTTTTTTGAGGTATTTATAGACAACTGAAATTTTCAATTTTTCTGAAATTTTGTTTTGAAGTGTCGATAAATTTTTTTTGGCCCAATCAAAATACTTGAAAATTTAATACAAAGTTCCTCATAAGTTATTTTTATAGTGATCAAAAAATTTTAAGAATACACAGGCACAATTTTTTTTATTAGCATTTGAAGTTCAAATATTGACAAAAATTCGTCAAAACCATGAATATTTGCAAATTATTTTGTAGGTATAATTCATAATTCAAAAAAATCAATTTCTTTCCATTTGAGCACTGTTCCTAAGTACTAAAAATTAAAAAATCATTTTAATTGGAGATGTCTTGTTGTCCCTATCACTTCAAATCGTGCAGCGTAAATAAAACACGTCTGTGAGCGCTCTCTGGCTGTAGTTCCATAGGCATTAGGCAGTATAAATGCATCACAACAAGGGATTTTTACCAATGAGTGGGGAAATAGTCAATGACCTTTGTAGGAAAACCCAAGTTTGATTCTCATTCACAAATTCACAATTCACAATCAGAACATACGTTATTAGTTATTAGTGTTATTACGTTATTTAGACGTGACCTATCAACATCAACGGTTTCGCAATTGTCAAGCACCTTCACACAACTAGCCAGTCAGAATCAAGAATTATACTTTTGTACTGGACTTGGGATACTTTTCAGTAAGGCAGTTGGACAATATTTTTAGTTTAAACTTTTTTATCTACTTTAAGCTGTCTAAGTCAAACTATTTCATATTCTACGTCAGCGATCGGTTGCCATATTTTCACACTATTCATGCACGCGTTACACGTCTGCTTCAACTTTCAACTACAAAAAATAATTATTAACCGTTTTTCAATTTTAAATGAAAACTCGCATCGTTGCGTATCATTGTCAGGGCCGAAACGTCAAACAATACGTTCCAAAACGACGACAAAATGAGTAATCATTATTGTTTTATAATTGGTCTCCATCTGTCGGCGGCTAGCAATACATATTATATTGTGCATACAGAAAACTCAATAATTCAATATTATTATTGACGACGTACAGTATTATACTTATACGTATTTTTTACTCGTATTTTCCACCACTTCATTATGTTCAAATATGTTCACTACGTATGCAAACCGGCGAAACAGACGGTAGCTGAAACCTTCAGGAGTGGGGCGAACATGCGCGGGTTTCAGCCGGTTTTCGTCCGCCGCCCGGCGCGTTTTTATTTGGAATATAGTGCCTACCATCGAACTACATGGTATCGTTTAAATTGGTTTTACTTAAAAACCTTAAGCCACGTTTTATCTTATCACGTGTCATTCAGTGTTTGTGTAGTTTATGCCCACAGATATATAAAAATACTAGATAGCCGACTGCCATACGTTTTACATACAAAATTATGTCTCCAACAAAATGGCCGATAATCGTTATCTAAGAGGTGACTGCTTATAAATTAAACTGATATGATAAATGATAAGACACTATTTTGGAGGGATATAGTATTTTAAATTTTATAGGAACGAAAACTTCAGAAAATTTTTTTGTCTGAATAGTGTAAGCTCAGAAACTTTTATTGTAAAAAATGTATTTTCTTAAGAATCCCAAACAATTATCAAACATGATAAATCTTAATAAAAATAATAATTAAATATATGCATTGTGTTATTATTTTATAACAATATATACCTACATGCCAAACATTACTCATACACCAACATTATTAATGCACATATTAAGCATGTTTTTTTAAATTTTATAAATATAAATTGTGATTAATGTATAGGAAAGGTAGGTACAGTAATTATTAATATTTTTTAAATATATATCTATTACTATGGTACTAATTAGATTTAAAATATCTGTAGAATACATTTTACCATATGAATGTAATCTCACGCTTAAATATTTCTTTATAAGTAATGCAATTAAAACCATTTTATGGGGTCTATCTAATGTAAAAACATTATTACATTCTAAATATTTAAATATATTTTTGTCCACTGCAAATTTTTTATTAACAAAGCAATGATAAACCATAGTAATAGATATATATTTAAAAAATATTAATAATTACTGTACCTACCTTTCCTATACATTAATCACAATTTATATTTATAAAATTAAAAAAAAACATGCTTAATATGTGCATTAATAATGTTGGTATATGAGTAATGTTTGGCATGTAGGTATATATTGTTATAAAATAATAACACGATGCATATATTTAATTATTATTTTTATTAAAATTTATCATCTTTCATAATTGTTTGGGATTCTTAATAATTATAAATAGCTCACAAATACCATAATATTGTTTTATTCAAATACATACAGTAAAATATTATATTATATTAAAATATAGAAATATAGAATATTTGTGTAAAATATTAAATGGTTCCAAATTTCAGTTCCAAGCAAATACATTTTCCACAATAAAAGTTTCTGAGCTTACACTATTCAGATAAAAAAATTTTCTGAAGTTTTCGTTCCTATAAAATTTAAAATACTATATCCCTCCAAAATAGTGTCTTATCATTTATCATATCAGTTTAATTTATAAACAGTCACCTCTTAGATAACGATTATCGGCCATTTTATTGGAGACATAATTTTGTATGTAAAACGTATGGCAGTCGGCTATCTAATATTTTTATATATCTGTGGATGTGATACAGCGTAATAATAAATAATAATATTATGTTAATAAATTCTGTGGTAGCCGGTAGATTATCCGATAAATTGGTGATCACTATTATCTCGCGAAGACGTGAAACCGGGTGCTTTGAATTTTGAAAATCCCGTGTCTCTAATTCTCTAAACTCTAAACAATGTGACTTTTCGTTTTTTAAAAACATCCCGACTCTGCTCATTAAGAGTTATTCCGAAACATTCACAATTCACTCATTTTTTACATGTTTTTACGATTTAATTCATTAATTTAGGCCTTTCTGCGATCTTATTCTCATCCAAAGCTGTAGTAGACACTGCTTGTAAATTTAAATAATTTTCTATTTATTTCACAGCTCACTGTACCTGGTTAATTTTGTACTTCATTGATTGTTCATATTTCATAATATTCTAAAAAAAAAAAAGGATTATTATGTAGTATTTGTTGTGGTATATACTATGAACAGTTTTAAATGTTATACCATCATTTATCATTGTGAATCTTATAAAAGTTCAATTTCTGAATTATTTAGTGAGGATTGTTCCGGTTAAACTATTATTAAATTTAATGTGTCACATTTAAATTGTTATTTTTATTACTATTGCCGTTTAGAGTAAATTTATTACATGAGTTATTTGATATCTTCATAAATATGTTGAAATTTAATAATTTAATTACCAAATTGAAACCGTGAGTGAAGTATGATTTATCTTTAATTATCTTGTTACATTTACAGAATATTACATTCATAAACTGATTTTAATGGTGTATAGGATTTTAGAAACAGTTAAATAATTTTAATATTTGTAAACCACACATTTTTTCTATCCACAATTGAGTAGGTTCCCAATCTATAAAGTTGTTGATTTATTTTTTAATACCTACTACTAAAATTGTCTTAATCAAACCAAATTAATTTAAAACTAACAATGTCTGTAAAAATGCATTCATTTTATAAAAATAAACTTAATTAACTACAATTTTTAATCACAACTCACAAGAATTGTTCATAATACCGTTGATTGTTGAATAGACTATTCTATAGTCAATTATAATCCTAAAGTATTTATTTAACCAACTGTTTGTCAAAAAAACAAATAATTTGGATATTCTATTCATAGAAATATTGCTGTTATGCTTAAATTGTATTCTAACTTATATAAACTACAATATAAAAGATGTGGAGCTTTATTTCTATTACAATCTTCAAAAATAATCATACTTTTAAAATATTAATACAAACACATTCCTGGGAAAAAACAATTAGATATGTATGGCTCAATGTAATAAATGAGTCATTGTGGTTTTTCTTATAGATAAACTACATAGTTCATAACTTTTACATTTAATAATTAATATTTATTAAGATATAAATAACCGTATCAATTTATAATTGTATATTGTGTTATTGCAGGATAAACAAATTAAACTTTAGAAGAAAAATGAGCACAACAATAAATCCTAAACGTCATGAACACAATATTGTGTGGTTTGATGGTGAAGTATGTATATTAATTATTACAAATGTTAATGTTTATTAGAATTTTTACATATTAAGATCTCTAAGGCACTAAATTTTACAACTGGATGAGATTAAAAAAAAAAGATGTAAATATAGATGTGATTGTTGAAAAAAATTGTCTTTCAAATTTCAATATGGTTAATACTTAATACGTAAATTAATTTTAAAAATATTAGTAGGTGTAAAACGTTAACCTGAACCTATCTGTTGAAATAACTTTTTTTTATTAAATTTATGATCTGATATGCAAACATATTTTAAATTAAATTGTATTTATCAATTTTCAGATGACTGGATTAGACTATAATCGTCATGCCTTGATTGAAGCAGCTATAATTATAACTGATAAAAATTTGAACATTTTAGCAGAAAGTCCAAATATTATTATACATCAATCAGATGAAGTGTTAGAAAACATGGAAGATTGGCCTAAAAAGCAACATGCATTAGTAATTATTTTATTATAATTTTAATATTTTTTTTTTATTCTCTGCATTGCATATTTACATGTATTATTAGTTGTGCTCACATTAAGTTCCTATATTTTGTCCAGTATTTTTTTCTTGATTAATTGTAAGTCTGCAACATAATGGTGGTGGTAAATTGTGTTCAGCTTCATTTTAACACCACCACCGCATCAGTGTGTAAAGCTTTTAATTTAATGATTATTGAACATTTAATTTTTTTTAGATGAGTTCATGTATATACTCATTAACTCCATGGGTATATTTGACTACATTATACCTCTAATTAATTGTCCTTTAATTCTCTGTTGATTAGTTATTTTTATGCACTTTTGTTATTTGTAAGACTGCAACATAATATACTAATTTCCTAAGCTTTTGTCTAGCTTAGAATTAAATAAACATTTCATTTGCCAATAGATAAAATTCCACCTGAGCATTTAGATTTCCTAGAAATCTTCTTTATTGATACTTGATACATATGCTATTATTTTGTACCTATATTAAAGATAAATTTTTCATTTATCTAACATAAATCAGTAGAAATATGAAACATTTATGTAATACCACTATTTTGTATAGCAAGTTCCCTTGATTTTCTAAATTTTAGATTTAAAATTATTCTTGTATGACATAAATTTTAATTTTTTTGATAATTTTTTTTTTTTTTATGTTTTTAGAGTGGCTTGACTGAAAATGTTAGAAAGAGCAATATATCAATTGAACAAGCTGATCAAATATTATACGAGTTTATCAAACCATTTACTCCTAAAGGTGAATTTAAAATTAAACAAGTTGATGAATATTATTCATAATTATTTGAATTTAACCAGGTGAATGCCAGAGTATGAATTATCTATTAAATTTATTATAATTTTAGGTTTTTGTCCGTTAGCTGGCAATTCAATTTATATGGATAGAACTTTTATTAGAAAATATATGCCAAAACTTGAAAGTCATTTAAGTTATAGATTAATAGATGTGTCTACTTTAAAAGAGTTGTTTAAGTATGTATTAAACACAATTTTAATATTATTTTTTACTTGCTAAGCATTTCATGTTATGGTATTTGATAATCTGAAGAATCAGGTTATCAAAAAACTATTACTACAACCAACTCACCTTGAATTAATAGTACATATTAAATCCATAATAAGCATGTTAAAGTAACTAAAAAATTTAGTTGATGTGTGAATTTTTTAATAAATGTATGAATTAACTTTAGACGCTGGAAACCGGAAGTACATAATGCAGCTCCAAAAAAATCATTTCAACATAGAGCTCTTGATGACATTAAAGAAAGTGTCGAAGAACTCAAATATTACAAAAACTGTTTGAAGTTATAATTTATCATCATGAATTAAATAAATAAAATTTGGTGATACAATTTGCACCAAAATAAGCATCATTTACATAAGTAAAAAATTGTTAAATGTATTGAGTATCCACCCCTAATTATAATTATATAAAATTTATTAATTAAATTGAATGATAACCTGATTTTTACTGAAGTGTCATTGATTCCCGTGCAGCGTAAAAAAACCATACATGGTGGAGTGCATATTATAAACAAGTACTGGTATTAAGATATGTTTATCATTGTTTATTCCTGCACAGATGATAACATAAGAATTATTGTTCAATATGTTAATGAATATTATATATACAGTAGAACTTCGATTATCCGAACTAATTGGGACCACACCTAATTCGGAATAAATTTTTAAAACATAATCAAATATTTTATATTACATATTTATTATTATTATTATTTTATGAAAATTACATACATAGAAAAATATGTTTATTATATTTTTTTGAAAAAATTATCAATACGACTATTGAATGTTTTAACGTTCGGATACGTTAATTGTAGTTTGGATAACAATTGTGTCGCTAAGAATTAAATAGGTAATAAAATGAATTAAAATAATTATTTTTATAATGCTTTCAAAAATTTGTAATATACAAAACAATATTATGTAACTAAATTACTTGTATAAGATGTTATTATTCTATATGAAAAATAAATAATGAAAAAAACTACAACATTGTTTTAATACAAACTGTATGGTACATTAATTTTTATAAACATGTTTTAATTTAAACGAATAATCTTGTATAATAGTACAAGAAACTGAACAATTTTTTGTTATTATTTATGTACTATAAGCTAAAGACAATACTGTTAGAAGTAAGCTACCAACAATCACACCATAACCAGTTGAATAAACTTGTTTAATGGTCAAACATTTACCAGCATCCCACACCTAAACAAAACAAGTAGTTTTAAGTTTTTGAAACTAAAATAGGTATAGATTTATTAAAACTCACCAAATGTCTAATGCCATTACACAGGTGATAGAAGAACGGAAAAGCAACTAATCCTTTAGCCGACATGATAGCAGCTGATGGTAGTTCTAAACCATGTACAAATTGCACAAATGTCGGCAAATCCGTGAAAATGAATACTATAGAAAAATACGTAAATTAATACGAAATTATAATTAGAAATAATATCTAACTAATAAGTTAATGAAATATGAATAAGTACTTTATCACAAACAATGTGCTACTTCTTAATTTATAACAAAAGTTTGATAAATAAATTATAAAACTTTATGAAATTGAATCAGTTTATGTAGAGCAATTTTTAAACATTTAATATTGATATTTAATAATTGTGAAAGCAACTAATAGTGGTGCTAATATAGGGCCATATTTAAAATTACTTGGTAAATATTATTAGGTTTTATTTTTTAACAATTAAATATACTTGTCAATAGAGATTGTAGATAGAAGAAAAAAAATATAATAACTTACATGCTCCTAATCCAGCAGTTACACCACTTAATGCGACTCCAGTTCCACGGTGTGTAATAGATAATATTGTTGTTAATTGAGGCTGATAAATTGTCAAGTGAGGAGACATAGGTCTACTAAGGCGCCCATTTTTCTCATCATGAGTCTCTCCTAATTTATATTCAACTTCTTGAGCATTTTTAACTTGCATGGTAATCATACGCTGTCTAAAAAATAATTAAAATTATATTCCAGATTTTCAACTACATTTATAGAGATAAATATTTTCTTTGATATAGCACAATAACCAATAGTTTAATTGAGGGGTGTTGTAGGTACAGTAAGAACGTTTTTCACATTCATATTTATTTAAAATAAGTGTACCATATGATCATGAAGAAGTATTACACTTTGGCTATTCTAGAATATAAATTAATTTTAAGAATAATTTTATTTTATTATTTTTCATAAAAATTATCATAGAAAATTTCTAACTACTCACTAGGTGATAAAAATAACTACAATAGCCAAAATATTTTAACAGTTTTAATTGCTAATAAATAATAACACTTTTTACTTACATTGTTGGCATTTGGAAAGACATTGTTTGTCTAGCTGAGCATAGTCTGTGTACACTGAAATATTTTATAATATTTTTTTAACAATTAATAATAAAAATGTTCAAATTAAATTTTTTAATTAATTTTTTTTTTTAATATTATGTATGTGTTTTTATATTGTTAATTAAAAAGAAATTATGTAATAATAACTGAGTAGTACTATATTAAAAACAATAATATTCATAGAGAAAAATACATGTTTTAGGTTGTTACACTAAAATACAATATTTATAAATTAAAAGTAATTATATTTTTATTGTTATGCAAAATATTTATTTAAGAATAAATACAATATGAAATGGATAGTCTTGATCTTTTATCGACTGTCTAAATATCTGAGAATGTTGCCATGCCAAGTCTCCGGATCCTCCATTTAAACTTGCATTTAATATTACAAAATTAGAGCCATTCATTTGATCAACAATGACTTCTTCGATATTTTTAATAACAGGCAGATTTACAGTATGATTATTTCCGATCAACTTCCATTCAACTTGACCTGTATTAAATAAAGCTGTAGTGTAAATTAATTTGATGTCTTGCACAACTAAACCAGTTGAAGAAAAGTCAAATCGCCATTCTATTGTTGATTTTTCACAGTTTTCTTCTCTACATAAATAAACAGTTTTCCAATCTAATTCTTCTTTGCGGAATATTGAACTATAACTATATACACCACTTTTCCATCCTTCATAAATGCTATTTCCATGAATATATTTATCAAAAGCTGTAGAATATTTGAGTTCAAATCTTTTATTGGCTATTTCAGTTTCAGACGGAGTCCAAACAAATTTCTCAATTTGAATTTCCCCTCGGGCTAATCTCCATGTAAGAGCCCCAGACGTTCTACCACCATAATTTTCGGTATCAGTACATTTGGTTTGAAATAACATTTCAATACACTCCTTCAAACGTCTTTCTGCAATATATTTACGCCTTGATAATGATAAATTATTTTGTCTATGATATGATAAACTTAAAATTGTATTTAACAATTTGTTTTCTGAACAAAGTGTTCTTCTTTCTAAAACACTGCTACTGTTTTCAACATACCGCCAAGTAACATCTTGAACTTCTTCATTAGAATAGGCTATAACATATGATAATTTTTTCCCCCAACCTTTTTCATAAAGTAATGGCTTGTCTAAAGCGGTTTCACACGGGTCACAATGTATCCATCTTTTTTGATTGACCGACCAAACTTCAGTCCATACATGATCAGTCTTATCAATTACTAATCTTGCTTCCCAACCAAGAGCTCTACAGAATAAAGTAAAACAATTGGCCCATTCTCCGCATCTTCCTTGACGAGAAGTCAAAAGTTGTTCACAAATACCATATCTCTTAAAATTTGTGATTGAACTACAGTTATCACATTCATACAATTCTGAATATTTAACATTTTCATCTATTTTTTCACGATTTATTCCTTTAAATTTAGTAGAACTACAGCAAAACTGACAAGTTGGTGTATCAAACCATTTAAAAAATGACTTTTTAAACCATGTCATAAGTTTTAATATCATTTCTTCATGGTATAATGGATCATCATTTTTGTCGAAATTAGAAAATAGCTCAATATCTTCTGGTGATAAATTTTCTAATGCTTTACTTTGCAATATTTTATCTTCAAACTTAAGTACAGCCAATGATGTTGAATTAATTTCTTTTAAGAAATTATTTTCATTTAAATTAAGCCTTTGATGTTCAGGAATTATGTTCATAAGTTGTTGTTTACAGTTATTTAATGTATTTAAGCTTATACTATCTGGCAAAACTAAAGAATTTCCATCATCTATAAACCCAATTTCAAAAAGAAATTCCATTGCACCAGAAAATGGTAAAAGATCATTTTGAATTACATCGCCGTTCAAGTAGAGTCTTCTGAATTTTGGTTGATATGGATGATTTATTATATCATCAAGGAGTTTTAATAAGACACTGACAACTCGAAAACAGATATCAATACTATTGCTTTTTATGTCATTTAAACTTTGTAACATTTTGCAATGTTGAGTAATAATTACAAAAACATTAAACTAAATTTATGATTACACATAAACTAATAATAATATATTACCTTCTTAAATATAGAGCCATTATGTGAGTAAAAATGTACAATGTATTTAATGAATTAAGTACTCGAAAAATTAAATTATATTTGGAATAGTGAATTAGTGAAAACTGATATATTATATATTTGATGATACGAAGGTGAATAATACTGAAATTAAATCAATGAATTATTATTTATTATCCTACAACATAATTCTATATAGGACGAAAATCGGTAGTAAAAAATTGTTGGTAGTGGTAAATAGAGTATTCAATATCAGCTGATTATCGTTATAATCCATTATCAGTATGTTATAGCAGTTTATTCTGATCACAACTGATTAATATTTTACGTTCGGGTTGGTCACACTTATGGTTTAATAAAATATTATAAAATAAATATTAAATATATTTCCGAAGTTCAAATATCTCCAACAAAAAGTCGTTCCACTGAATAGATGAAATAGATTTATGAATTCTTGTGGTTATTCTGTTGACTGTTAATGTAGTTAAGTCACAGCCTCACGGATATCATCTATTATAGATACCTATCTACCTATACTCACTCCTATACTCTATAGGAGTGTGGACTTATACTTACAATCTATACCATTATATAAAATTGTAAAGAGTTTTACTAACCGAGGAAACTACTGAACCGATTTGGCTGAAATTTTCTAATGTTAAACTTGATAGTCTGTTGAATGTCTTAATACCACTTTTATTAATACAATAAATAAAAGAAATTAAGAAAAATGGGAATTTAAAAAAAAAGAAAATGAAATTTTCATAAAATGTTTAAATTGTCAATTACAAAAATTATAGTAGTATTGGACTTATTATACTATTAAAAAATAAATTATTTTAATATAACGATACCAAAATTATATCATGAAACTTTCTTCAGGTGCTTCTTCAATGTTAACAACTATTCTAGCAATGCTGTCTGTTGGTTACAACGTAAAACAATTCTGATGAGCTATTTCTAAATCATAGATATCCTCAGATTATGAAATCATGATACCTATTGGCTATTCTTCTTTTGTCAGGTCCTCTTTTCTTCAATATTTTCTCTTGTAAAATGGAATGAAGTTTAGAATACTTCAAGCTTAAATTGTACCTTGAAATCATCAGTAGATATAAGTTTTTTAATAAATGGGAAATCATTTTGCTATTTCTCATTAAAACAACAAGATATTTTTAGTGGCATAGTCATTACATAAAAAAAAACATGAACTAAAAAAATCATGACACTATAAATACATAGGTACAAAACAGTTGATAGATTACACTATCGACGTATAAATGTATACTGATTACTGAGGTCTGAAGACTGAGACACTATATATAGTCAGTAGGTACTAGGTACTCACTACTCACTACTTCACTACTGGAGTATAAAATAATAAACTATACATTATATTAAATATATATCATTATCTTTTTAGTTTAAATTCTCGAAATTTAAAAATCATAACATGGTTTTTCCCGACTGTAAACGTAATCAGAAGTTAGAGGCAGTACCTAGATTGGCTAAATTTAGAAAGGGTTTTTTTTTGTCATAGTCATACGTTACAAATGTTACGATGTTCATTGAAATTATTGACAAATACCTATAATTATTAATTATAATTAGAGTTAGGATGTTGATGACTTTTGCATTTTTTTTCCTTTTATTTTGTACAATGCTATCCTTGCTAAAAATTTGTTTCATGCTCCCTTGATGCAGAATATTCTAATTTTATTTTGCATTTTTTGCATTTTTAGCTATAAATGCATATTTTTGTTTTTTAACGTCATTTTTTTTAACATTTTAAGTCATTTTTTCATCTTTTAGGGCATTTTTTGTACTTTTTATACAATGTGGGGCATTTTTCACAAATTATAGATTTTAGGACAAATGTTACACAAAATATGTTACGCAAATATTTTTAATATAATTTTTTTTTATTTATATTTTACTTTTTAATTTATTTTTTATATTGAAATTTATTTATAAATTATTTAAATGCTTCTACTATTACACCCATTATTATACCCATATCTCTAATAAAAATTGTTATTTATAAATAAGTTTTTTCACTTACTTAATTAGTATTTTAGATAACTTTTAAGGTCATTTTTTGACGTTTTTAGGGCATTTTTGTGTGTTTTTTAGGTCATCAACATCCTAACTCTAATTATAATAATTAATATTGTGACATGTACTTAATTTTCAAAATATAAATTGATTGTACACCATCCTATGGTATTTAAATATGTAGTTTTGTTTGATAAAACACTCAACACTCATTTTAAGTACAGCAACAGCTGTGTATAATATAACTCTATTGAAGATGAAATTTCGATTTATTGTGAAATTCGTACTACAATTGAGATAAGTTTATTACTGATAATGTGATAAATATGCTATTAAATTAAGTAATGATCGTTGCTTTTGGTAAATACGAAATGTAATATATATGTTATATTTTTTACACATATAAAAGATAGATAAAGGCGCAAGTATAGCGTGTAGTGTGTACACCAAATGTTTTAGTTTAAACTCATAATATTATATTAACAAAACTAAATTAAACTTAAACGTCATTAAAATCGTAGATATTTTGTGAGTTTATTCATCGCGTTAGTGTGTTATACACAATACCACGAAAGCTATATCAGACATCAGTTCGTTAAGTAAAGTCTAGTGAACAATATACTAAATAAAAAATATCTGCGCATATTTACATTATTTTTTTAACCAAGGATTGAAATGGTGTTTAGTATTTACCATTGTTGGTGTTGCATATTCAGCATTTATGTATATCACACGTTGTCTTTATATTAATGAATAATGATAATTATAAATTTATAAATATCATATTACATGATCGGTGGCCGGTGGGGACTGTTCATTGGTCTTTAACAAGTAGACACTTTTAGTACTTATTCATTATGATTTAAAGAGTTAAAAATATAAAACTACAAAATAAATTTATATTATTATTCATATTACTAACATTTTTCAAAGGCTATTACGTCGGATTGGGACGGATCCTCTTGTAAGCTGATTTAGAAAAATTGGTAAACATATAAATAAACTGTTTTCAGAAACCAAATATTTGTTGGTAGACATTATTGTAGTGATGAAAAACCAAAATTAATTTCATAATAACTAATAATTAATAAAATCAATTGTAATGTATTTTAAATCAATAAAAATGTATTTTAATGATAATTGTATGTCTATAATAAATATCATAATTTCAATTATTTATTTTTGGTCACCATTTTTTTGTTTTTTGACCACTATACGCTGGGACATGGATTCCTAAGCCGGCAACGTCCCAGGAAATTCGGGACTATGGTCATCCTATTGTAATGGCATTTTTAGAGTCTAGGATTCTATACCGTAGAGTAGCACAAAGAACACAATTATTATTATTGTCGGCTAAAATTATCTATAATGTCATCCGTATACCTAATGTTGTTGATTCTGGGTCAACATAAAACTTATTTACTTAGTGATACAGACTGACAGAACGCCTCCGCATTCAAAATCGTTTTTCTTATACAATTATGTATTTTTGAATTAAAATTTAACATACTTACTCATCAGTTATCGCAGTGATCCACTTGAAACCTACTTACTACCGTACAACAGTGAACCGAATGGTATTTACTTGCCCACCTTTTTTTAAATATTATTATTCGGTATAATATAGAAAACGATTAGCCATCCTTAGTCACTATACTCACTATATATTGTCCATCGAAAGAATACCCCGCGATTCTCACATCCCACGTGACACTTTACCACCGAGATCGGTTCCACTTAAACACGGTTTTGTAATTTCTTACGAGGATACGCAGAACAGATTTTCGTTAGGACACAGCATGTTTTTACGCCGTTCAGACTAATTTTCGACTGTCGGGTATCGATATCTTATACAATTTTTTCATATAAACATAGATTAGTACTATACTATAGTATATTAGTAGGTATACAAATACAGAATTATATAAAATAGTAATATTTACTCATTGATTAAGTATACTTAAATAAATGACTGACTAATATGGTATTATAGTGACAGGATGTAGTAAATAGTAAACCAATTGTCATTTTGTTAGTTATTGTTAACGGAATTAAAGATTAAGATATCTCAATATGATAATATCTGATAAAATATAAACTGAATTATCTAGCTTTGCCTATGCGCATTGCGAACGAAAATGTAACACTAATAAATCATAACTTAATTAACTTAATTTATGATATTTACAAATGATTCTTAGTAGAAATTAGGATATAATTAAAATACAATTAAAAAAATTTAAGCGGTATTTATTTACGATTTTTTTTAAACCTTAGAAGAGCTTGCATGCATGATATGTTTATTTGAAAATAACTGACTGACTATTTATAGGTACATTTATTAATAATGTTATAAACAATTCAATGGGAAATTCAAGGGGGAAATAAACATTTTTAATTTAAACAAATTAAAGCTGTAATATTATTTCAACATATAAATATAAAATATATGTTATTATTATATAATTAATATTAATAATGTTGTATTAAAGTTACTTAAAATAAATTTTAATAAATAAAAAAAAATTTAAAAAATAAGAAAATACTATTTTATTAAATGTATTAATTAGTGTCAGACATCGGTATAAAGAACTGCATATTTCTTCGTTTTAATATGTCATTATATAATGACACTATATGGTAATAATTAATAACTAATATTTATTAAGTTATAAGCTAATATTATAATTTTTCCTTAGACGGACAATAGTGTCCCGTTTTTCTTTCCAATATATGGGCGCTCATTGACAAGGGGGAAATTAAAGGTATGTTGAGGTGGTTTGCCACCTTAAACTTACCTCAAACGGTCAATCGGACTTTTTTAATATTATATTTATCATAAAAAATATTCAAATCGAATGAAAAAATTAATTTTATATTTATAAATAGACCTTGTATAAAAATGTAGTATTAGGTTTTATTGTCTTAACTCTTTGGTATACTAACAAATAATTTCGAAACCTTTTAATAGCTGATGACAACATTCAGAGTTTAATTTTGTGGTGCATAAATGTTTAAATAGGTCTTTGATTATAAAATACGTACTTACAATAATTGTTTGTAAAATTATCCTCGGTGTGAGAAACATAGTAATTTTTAATTAATCTACTCCACTATATTGCTTGATCTTGAACATTATTTATTGTCATTACAAAACAAGCTTTTATTGAAAACTAAATCCTTCTAAATCCAACTAGAGAATCGTTGGGGTATTATAATGGTATTTCCAATAAAAATATTTTTTCTCTCTTAGCACATCATATTAAAATCGTAAAGAATGAGATACTTGGAAAAAATATTTGGGATTGTTCTGTGAAAAAAAAATTGGATTTAGTATCGTTAGAAATATGGTATATAAAAAAATATATATAATATATAAGAATATTTTATTAGCTTTGTATTATTACTATTCTCTTATTGCAACTTATTATTTGAACAATAACAAAAAAGTTAAATTACATAGGATTTATTTTATTTTAACGTTATTAATTTATACGTATAGGTTATACATTTGAAACTGTATGCTCATTATTATTCGTCTTTTATAAATTATATCAATTTAATGTATCAGTATAGGTACCTATATTTGAAGTAAGCTAAAAAATAATATTTTGTATTTTGTATTAAAAACAAATATTATCGGTGGTGCCTGCGATCAGTGGTCAATTATTATAGTTTTGTAGGTTGTAGTTTAGCTCAGGTGTTACGTGAATCATAAAGATCGTGAAGGTTAATTATAATTTTGTACGACAAAAGTAATGCCTAACGATAGTCATTAGTTATGACTCATGGTAGATAGGTATATAATATAATAACACACAAAATATAAGTTGGATACGTTAAAAATGAGTTATTATATAAAAAAAAAATCGCCATGAACCTGCAAGAAGGTCATTTATTATATTATGTACACGCAAGATAACGGATAATATATAATAATATTATAATGTATAAAAGTACATTATGCACTTGTCGTTTAATAATAGGCGTTTTTCTTATTATAGTACTCGACTTTCACAACGCCTGCAAATACACGTGAAAACACGTCATCGCAATAATGAGATCGACTGCGCTCTCTCGATAAAAAATAAAAAGCTCATTGTGCTTTGAAAAAGGTCCAATAGGTATTACATCGATGATATAAACAGTTAAATATAATTGAATTATGTGTATACATTACAAATACACAACATTGCCTATGGGGACATTTTTTGCCAACCCCTCCCACTCAACCATTAGCATATTAATTATACTATAGGTTAAATTGTTGTCAAAGTCTATAATAGTAATAATACTCACGATAATAATATATGTGAGCACGGTGCAGTTATTGTAAACGAGAATCTAATTAACATTTACAACGCCAGCCGTCCATGCATAAATTATATAAATATTAAATAGGTAGGGAGGTTGTAAGAAGTAGGTATCACGATTTTGTTTTTGACGTATAGAATATAGTTATCTTAGATTTGATTTGAACTGTAAATCATTTTTCGTATACTTATTACTTAATCAGGTCAACTCGCTTATTATAACGAAAAAATCACATTATGTACCTACTTACCTAATGTCTATAGGTACTCTACACAAACAAATAGGTACTATATAGGTATTACTGGTAGATAATATATTTTTATATTCCTGTATACGTATAATCATTGATTTTAAATACTATATAGTATTTAAATTTAAAATGAATGGTATAACCTAAATCTAAATAGGTAGATAGGTTGTATAGGCATTAATAAGTTATTCATCTGCGATTTCGGTTTTAGACGTAGACAATTATATCGATACTATTGTGTATTAATGCTATATATTTTATTTATAATTTACAATGTATATAGAATTATTACTTATCATATCAACAAAAAAAATATTTACTTATAAAGTCTATTGGCTATTTGGCTATAGAATGTCAACATGATACAAAAAACCAATACATTTTTTTTCATTTTTACTAGATACAATTCTATCTGTAAAATAATTATTACAATAAGTATGTGGAGAGCTTGCTTTTTGTAATGTCAGATAGTGGCGATAGTGCGAACAGATAAGTCATCCATTAATAAAATTGCGTGGCTTGAAAAATAAATACATTAATAACATGTATATTACATGTCTATTTTAGTACCTATTATGTTTATACAACAATAATATTGGTCAAAATTTCAATAAAAACGCTAAGGGCGTAGATATCCATTATTTTGTCTATTAGATCATGAATTACATAATGAACCATTTTAGTCTCTTAGATATCTGAATCTCTTATTCAATAATCATTTTTAAATATAATAATGACTTTTACTGTACATGTTAATTTATTAACATAAAATAATAACTATTTTTTTTTATATATATAATTAACTTTAAATTGAATAAATAAGGATGTTAATTTTAGAACTGGTAAACCTTAGCCACCCATCGAATTGTGCACATGATAATATTCAAAACATGAAATATCAAATTTAGTTCTACGTTTTTGCATTATTATGATAGATTGTTGAAATGCGGATATCAAAAAAATCTTTCTCTCTTCAATCCCCCCCCCCCCCCAAAAAAAAAAAAAAATAAAAAAAAATATACGTAACTTAGACATTATTTTTCCAGGGGTAGACGTTAATAATTAATGCGTAATGTTTATATAATTAAGTATATACGTATTGTATCTATAATAAATGTTAAAATAAATAAATATCATATGGTTTTATATGAATATATAATTTATTTTAAATATATTTTAATTTTATCACGTTTCGTTTCTATCGTGTTGAAAAAACTTGTTGGCCTACCTACCGTATATTATAATGTATATTAATAAAATCAGCCAAAGTCTAAACAATAATGGAAGCAACAAGCGATAACCTTTATTTTTGATTCGAAATTTCATCACCCATAATTTGAAATTAACATAATATGATATAATTATCAATATTATACGCACTGTTATTCTTGAGAGATGCGTAGTTATCACTATGCATCTATAATAATATGATTCAGAATCATATCATGTGCGCATGTATTATTACATGCGTAACTGTAGATACTAAATAGTGTAATTGTAATCAATCAAATGATTATTTTGAAATCATCGCGGCGCCATATAAATATAATGTAAAAATTCCAAATATGCCTAACTATGTATATTATTATGTTAGGTGTAGTACCTATATCGATACATTGAAAACCACTTTTGTATACGACGATCGGTCAACGTTTCAAAAAAGAAATAACCGATCAAATTGTATTCCTGCGACCACGGTACCTAAATACTATAGGATATATATTTATATATTAGATAACTTTGTCCTATTAATAAATACTGAAATTCAAGGACATCCGCATCCCTCGACGACTGGACCATAATTAAGGAAAGAAGCTGCAAAAACATGTATAAATAGATTATGTATGTATATCTACAGTGGCAGTGCAAGGGTTTTATCTAGGTAGGGTCACTAGGAGGCCAACAAATATAAGGCCGGGGCTTGCAAAAATAAAATTTCAGCTCTGTACAAAAAAAATTATTATTATAAGCTAATTACAATTTTTTTACTCGATGAAGAAATCGTAGTTATTTCACGTTGACATATTTATTTTAGATAAAATAAAACAATATATACACAGTGTAAGTCAATAAGTATCTATAGACGTATTAAAAATATTTTAAATTATCGTTTTTTGTAGGTATAATTACGATGATTATAAATATAAGGAGGTTGAATTGATCGTAGGTATAATATTATATAAAATACAGCAGTAATGTAGTATATATTATTGTTAATTACATATTTTCGTGCAATTACAGTAAACTATATTTTCTTTTAGCCTGAAACATGACTAATTTATTGTGATTTATTTGTGTAAAATTGGACCAGTGGTAAGGGCATGGAATTTATAGGTAGAGCCAGGGTAGGCGCTATGAATGCGTGTGTTGAAAATTAAGTATAAAAAATCTTGGTGTTTTATGAATGATGGCAATGACTATACATTTTAACAATAAATCTTTATTTTTTTAAAACTGATTGATTTTACATTCCACTTTTAATTTATCTTACAATTAATTACCTAGACTGTAATAATTAAATTGGAAAGAACTGAAGTCAGAAAATATAACATGAGGACTTATTACGTGACTATCTATACCTACATCAAACAGAACGTTTAAAACTAAATTATCATTTATAGGTACACAAAAAAATATCATAGGGCTATAAAGGGCAGCCAATTGACTCAGCATCACCTAGCCATTTAAGTTACTTTTTATTTATTCGAATGATAATCTCTACTAAAATATCTAGTATGTACTTTACCAAGATGTCATACGCCCACGCTGAAACCGTAGAAACCATAGAGTCGTAACTTAACCGCTGGCCATCGATCGCGGCTGATTACGCGTCGAGTTCATTTACATTTTAAAACCTAAACCATCAATCAAAGAAATAATATAACAATCGTTACACCGTAATCGTAACCGTATCAATTATTATTACTATAGACCGTACTTTGGGAAATCGTTACACATTTCTTACGTATCATTATTCATAATATCGTATTATATTCCTAACCGGAATAATACTTTTACTTACTCCAAGGTGAATTATATTGTGTGCATGCATACAACCGGCCTTTTTATCCTGAATTTGCGGTGCCGTTGCAAATTACGATCGTTAATGACTGTCGGGCCGCTGTTTTGCGGTATGACGATCATTTATTTTTACCATAGTACAACATAATATTATTTCGACCGTAAATGCAAACACAACGCGATATAATAATAACGACGGCAATAAACAATAATTACGACTAGGACTACGCCGCCGCCAAGTCGAGGCGAAAAATCTTAACTCGAAAATTAAAAATTAAAAAAACCGCCATACACACAAACAACGGTTAGCCACCGCCATAGAGCTCGAGCGGCGGTTCGCGTTGAGGTCATACCCTTGGTAGTTGTTGTACACTTGCACCGTCGTTTGCTCCACTCACGACGAACTAGTCGGCCGACGAGTCGACCTTGGTGGCGGTAAACTATACCGATATTCCGGGCGGCAAGACCTTGATCCGTTTCGTTGGTCGTTTTTATCGCGGTTATCGGCATCGCGCTGATCGTCCGTCCGCCATTCACCCAGTGACCGTGTTGCTGTTTACACGCCCGTTGAACACTAAATCATGAGTGGCAAGTGAGTACCTAACATCTCTACGATTGTAGTTTCCTATTACTTAATACTATACTTTTATCCAAATTAACAGCCTATTGAATTTAGCAGTATAATACGCTTACTGTTTATACACATTTGCGATTGACATTATTTTTTTATCGATAATCGCTGACATGTCTTACTTGCTTCGCAGATCGGACATCGGACTCATCGGCTTGGCCGTTATGGGCCAAAACCTCATACTCAACATGAACGATCACGGGTTTGTCGTCACCGCCTACAACAGGACCGTCGAAAAGGTTGATGAGTTTCTAGCAAAAGGTGCAAAAGGCACGAACATCGTTGGCGCTCACTCTTTCAAAGAATTGGTTGATTCCTTGAAAAAGCCACGCAGAGTTATGATGCTTGTCAAAGGTACATGAGTAAAATTTACAGTTATAATCGAATAATACTGATGTTGACACAAGTAGATTATTCTATACTATCTGCCTTTCATCAAAATTGTCTCATTTTGAAATTAAACTTCAGATCATAATAGTAGGTACCAACTACCATATGCATGTGTAGATTTTTGTGTCTGGTGCAGCATTTATTATTAACTTTTAACCAGTCCAACAGAATAATAATCATTTAACTTATTTCTCTCATTAAAATATAGGTAAAATTAGTGAAATGTTGATATGTAAGGTAAAAACAATTTACTTGATTATCATTCTGTTATATGATGTAAATATCATTTAATTTGTGGTATTAACATTAGTTTACAATTAGGCTATAGATAATGGGTCATGTCTGTATGTGTAGTCAAACAAATGTGGATATATCGGTATAAAACCTAAGACTCATTTTAGAATTTTCGGATTGATAAGTAATATTATAATTTTTTATTTGATCATCAATATTGAACATTTATGTTTTTTCTTAATTTTAAAGTTTTCTCATACTGTTTATTCAAGCCTTTTAAATACATATTTACCAATCTATTAAATCTAAAACAAATTTTTAAGTGTAGTGAAAGTACTATTTGAAAGCTACAATGTACACTTTTATTATAATAAACATCTGGACTCGATATGCTGCTACTGTAACACCTAAGTTGTTATATTACTGTTAACTCCTTTATAATATTTCTCATTAAATTAACAATGATTGTTGAATGTTTATGAATTAACTTTAAAGTACTGTTAGTAGTACTAATAAATTACTACTTCTAATAAGTTATATTATAGTTTTAGAGTTTAAATATAAATATTACATATAACAATAACCCATATATTCAAGAAATTTATAATACCTACATAATATTAAAAAAAAAAAAAAAAAAAAAAAAAACAAACAATTCTTTTATATTTTAGTTAAACTGTAGAATTTCTTATTGTATATTGTTCTTTAGTCAAAAGACCATCTCTGATTTTTTCAAACCTCTGTTTATGTGGTAACACTATTGCTATAAATCCGAGATCATCTGGTTTATTTAACATGATATTTGGAGTTTCTGCTAATTTGCTATTCATTTCCACTAATTTGCCTGGAACGGCGGAAAGTATTTTGTGCTCTTCACCGTCAGAACAAAGAACTTTGCATAAAGTAGATCCTGCCTGTACAATTTGAGCTCCTCGTTTTCCTTTTCCTGTCATAATATTGCTGAGGCGATGAGTGTTCTCTGATACTTGGAAATCTATTTTTTCAATGGTTTTGCCCATTAGAACATGACTTGATGCTAACGATAAGATGCATAGATTATTGGAATGAATTAACACACTGTAGTCTTGATTGGGTTTGTCGTTGACATTGGTAGCGTAACGAGATTCAAAGTATCGTTGAACGACAGTTGGTGGAACACCTTCAGATATTTCAACAGATTGTTCTATTGATGGAACTGAATCATCATCAATACCGAAATCATAAACGTTAGGTTTGTCCATTGTTACACAGTTTACACGGTATATGGAAGTTAAAATTGATAGATAGGTTTAAGTTTCGGTAAAATGTTAAACAAGTTATTAAAATTACTGATTTTTTAAGAATCGCTGTTTAAAAATAATAGACATGACAATCGACAAGTTAAAATTTAAATTTTAACTTTCGTGTTTTAAGTTTAAAAACGTGCTACTGATAACGGATAAAGTGTTATCTGAATGTTATCGCGGTATAGAAATTAACCTGTGATGTCATTAAAACCAATTGTACCAACTGAAAATATTTACATTTATTTGGATGCCTCTTATTTTTGAATTATGAAGGTAAAATGCTAAAAATTAATTTTTATTTGAATTTTATATGTATTTTAATTTTTATTCATTCTGTTATCGGACTGTTAATTAATTGTTAATTTATATTAAAAATCATATACGTATAATAATTATAATTATTTATATTTATTTTTAAATAAATATTTTGTTGTACTTGAAATATACATTTTTTACAATTAAAAATTATCAAAATATAATTTTGTCATACATTCAAGAGTTTAGGCATTATCACAATAACTTTAATAAAGTATATTTTCATTAAAACATTAGAAAATGTACTAAATATTTTATGAGTATTCATGAAATGAGTGCTGAACAATTTTCAGGCCTGATGCAAACTATCTTTTAATTTTTCACGCACCTACAGTTTTTAATCTATATTTTTTATTTTTTATTTAGTAATATAAATATTATTTTTAAAATCTTTTTATTATTTTAAATAATGGTAATTGCCTCAAAAAAAACTTTGACATACCTCTGTTTGAAATCAACTTCAAAGTATAACATTAGAAATGTTAGTTTTTTCATTGAGTAATTGTTAATTATTATTTTATTTTTGTTTTAGCTGGAAGTGCAGTTGATGATTTTATTGCTCAACTTGAACCGTTACTGGAAGAAGGTGATATAATTATTGATGGTGGAAACTCTGAATACCAGGATACTCAACGTCGAACAAAAGCACTTGCCCAAAAAGGTTTGCTGTTTGTTGGTTCAGGGGTATCTGGTGGTGAAGAGGGAGCTCGATATGGTCCATCATTGATGCCTGGAGGAAATCCAAAAGCCTGGCCAAATATTAAGAATATTTTCCAAGTGAGTAGTCCTCAATATGAATATTGTGTTAATATGTTTTTTCTATAAAATATAACAATTTGTAATTTTGTGGGTTTTTAATCATTAATTTTTTATTTAACTCTCCTATCAACTTTTATTTAACATTGTTTTATCTATATTCTATAACTAAATTAAAAAATTGTAGAAAATATATAGTTATTAGATAACATTTGCTTTGTTGGACATTTTACATTATCATTATATTTTTTTATTATTTTCAATTAATGAGCTTTTGAAAATTTTATAATACATTTATAGAAGCAAATATTAATCTGAGTATACAGCCTGTTAAAATTATTATTTTTTTAACTTAGCCTTGATTTGATGAATATTTCCATTAAACCAATAAAAAACATAGGTGTTTACAAGTTTATTCATATCATGCCTACAGTTAAAAATAGTTTTGTTTATTGTCCTAATGATCAGTACAGGGCTATTTGGGCGTGTCATTTGATTATATTTTCATATTTCCTCAAGGCAACTGTCTACCAGATTTATATTATATTAATACAATATCTATCATATTGATATTATAATAATGCCATGAAAGTAATTACTTTCACTTTGAATGAAATTTCAAACAATATAAGAATATTGTAATTTAACCATTATAGTTAAATTAAATGTTTTTATTATAACTATTAAGAATTTCAATTGTGTTATAATTTTGTATGTAACAATGTCTAATTTTTAGAGCATTGCTGCTAAAGCTGATGGTGAACCTTGTTGTGATTGGGTTGGTGAGGATGGTGCTGGCCATTTTGTGAAAATGGTTCATAATGGTATTGAATATGGAGACATGCAACTTATCTGTGAAGCATATCATTTGATGAAATCTGCTTTAAATATGAATAATAAAGAGATGGGATTAGCCTTTGAAGAATGGAACAAAGGCGAATTGGACTCATTTTTAATAGAAATTACAAGAAATATTTTACAGTTCAAAGATAACGATGATGAATATTTAGTTGAAAAAATCCGTGACGCTGCTGGTCAAAAGGGTACTGGAAAATGGACTGCAATTTCTGCATTGGATTATGGTGTTCCGGTCACATTGATTGGAGAATCTGTGTTTGCTCGTTGTCTGTCTTCATTAATTGATGAGAGAGCAGAAGCTAGTAAAGTTCTTAAAGGACCAACAGATACCTTTAAAGGAGATAAACAAGCTTTCTTAAAAGACATTGGAAAGGTAATTTAATATTAAATATGGTTGAAATCAGTAACTACAAATTTAAGGAACACGTTTTCTGTTTGTAATTACTTGCTTATTGTATATGGTTAGAAAAAATGGATGTTGTAAACATAATTTATATAAAAAAAAGTTCTTTATTGATTCTGAAAACCCATACCTAAATTTAATCTGGAATATGATAGTTTTCTCATTACTGAGTACTGATATAATAATTCCTTAGAATAAAACTAGCGTGATCTCAATATTACAATAAGTATACATGACATTACAGTATTTGAGTTGATTATTGAATTAGTATTTATTGGTAATATATTAATGATCAAGGACATAGAAGATAATTGCTTTAGTACTAAAACTAAGATTTAATTATTTTATGTAACACATCTAAAAAGAAAACAAAGTCTAGATATTGTTTATAACATTACTCTAGTTTAGAGGTTCCTAAACTT